TCAGCAACCCTGATGCTTTTAAGATTCTTGAAGATTTACATTTGAAATTAAACCAGCGACCACAGGTGATCTCTACTTGTAACGCCGTCTCTTCATCTCCGCCTCGGACATTCCTGCCAAGATGGCAGCTCGCTCAGGAGATGCTTTCCACAGAGTCTCGATGGCTCGCATCTTGATATCCGGTTCGATCTCTCTGCACCTTGGCAACAAGTTGTTGGGCTGGTGGACACCGGGATATAGGTCTGGTTACCCTTAGACACCAACAAAAAAACGACAAGTAAAGTAAATAAGGCAGGTACTCTGCTGCAAACTTCGTTTTGGCTTCCCCATAAGGAGTGGTGTTGGTGGATCCGGCAGATTTTTGCGGCTTTGATCCACCAGACCTGGACTTACCCTTAGGCTTCTTCGGCTCCTTCTTGGGTTCGGATTTGTCCTTGGATCCCTTAGCCTTCTTGTTCTCACAGGGCTTAGACTTGGCGGGTATCTTCCCCTTCGAGGTAGGCTTCACAGTCTTGTCCTTGCCATTCGTTTTGTCCTAAGCTAAATCTGAGACATGTGAATGACTGGGAAAGAATCAAATAGACGTAGAGGGCTAAATTGACTTGAACAACGAAATCCTTTGTATTTGCAGTGGAAGTTAGTATGATCAAGTTTCCTGTGCATGTTTGGCTTGGATTTCTGCACGCTTGGCTGCAGCTAGTTGGGTCTTCGCAAGCGGTGTGACCACTTCATACTTAGACTCCCCATTCTTCGGCTCCGGTGTGACAAGAGGTGGCTCCTACAGTGGTATAGGCATGAATCCTCAAATATCAAAAGTATCAGTGTAAGAAAAATCGATGGGAAGGAGTTGCAGCATTGCATGCACATGAACCAACCCTTGATGACACAACACAGCGCCTCCACTGCAACAGTGGGAGGCCAAGACATCTCTCCAGGGATAGGCTCATGATTGAGGGCCTTTTGCGCCTGGCAGTTCCCACACAAAATGTTCAAGGTCGTAATTCAAATCGAAAATGGTATGTATGAACTATCAATTGGAATCGAGTCCAGATTTGGCCTCCCAGAAATCAAGCGGCAACGTCGGAGCTTTCAAAAACACAGCCTCGTCTGCCTAGCCCAGTTGTGAAAGCTGAAACTCCACATGATCCACATGATCGAGTTTGAACCATGCCCTCTGATGCTCAGGTGGAAAGACTGGCCTTGCCGAGCTTGACATCAGTCTCAAACCCTGGAAATCCTGGTGCGTTGTGGCTGCATGGATGTATGCTCGACCCTTTGCTGCAGTTGACTTATATAATTAGGGAAATGTATAATTATATAAGCGATGATGTTGAATCCTGGCAGTCGCCTAATTTGCCTAATTGATGGAATGTTCTTGGAAGTTTTTTTTACTGTTGCTTATGAATGTTATCTAGTTTCCCGGTTATAACGTCACAACAGTGCAACATCAAGTCAGTTAATATAACCCTCAGGAAAGTCCTTCACTGGCCATGAAGACGTTCCACGCAAACTCCACTTGCTTTTGGGCTGACCCAACATTGTCGGTGTGATCCCATTCAGGCATGAGGGGCTTGAGCACGTCCCCTTGGATCAAACAAAATGGAAAGATACATTCACACTCGTTTTCACTGAAACATTTTTGAAATCAGGAATATGTTCTTTTTGAGTTGGGGCACAATAGTGCAGACACCACTGGTCAAAGTAGGCCGACCCTTCTTCGAAATCCTCCTCTGTGGGTTCCGTGGCTGGCTTGTCACCATCAGCTTCCCCTCAGATAAGCAGCTGGAAGAATGCTGGAAAGAATGGATGGAGATCAGACAAACCATATCAAACCATTCTCAAAACAAACATTGTTTTCAGACAGCATCCCTGAAACACCGATAACAATCAGTTTTGCATCTGGAAAATTATGCTTTTGAATTTTGAATGCCAACATTTGTTGAATCAAAATAGACTAGGCGCAGGGTTCACCATCAAGCTCATATGAAGCGGACTTTGCGACATCACCATCAGAAACCCGGCACTTATCCCAGTCAAGATCGACTGACTCATCATCCCAACCCCCTTCACCATCAGCCGAGGAAGAGCCATCATCAATGTGGCTGTCAATGGGAACGGCCCTTTCAAGCGATGCTCCTTGGTTGAGGGAGCGCCGGGCTGCAGTTCCAACCGCAACGGATGAAGTTCATATAGTTTTCACACGTGCCACCTAACCACTGGAAATAGCTCAATATATTTGCTAGCAAGGCTCCTGGAGCATTTGCAGAACTGGGTTGCCCATCAACGGCATCCGAAAACCATGCCCACCAATCTGAGCTGATCAAAAATAAGTTCTTGACTCGATAATCTTCCACAGCTGACATGAAATTGAATTCCAATTTAATGCCCACTTTGGGAACGAGGAACCTTCATCCCAAAAGTCATCTCCCAAGTTTGCCAGAGGATCCTCCGAAAACTCAGCGACCTTGGCTCTTGTTGTTTGCAAACTATATCAGGGCATTGTTTATCTACCTACATACCTACCTACCTACCTACCTACCTACGTATACCTGACTGCCTGCCTGCCTGCCTACCTACCTTCCCCATGTATCCACTCATCCATTCCGATTACTTAACCCGTATTCAAAGTCATTTTGTATGTATATATATATAAATATCTTTATTTATTTTTTAGGTCGATATAAATATGAATCATAGCCTCATGGAGATTTTGATGGATCTCTGTATCTAATGTGATGTATATCTCATAGATTCTCATAGGTATAGATTTGCATATATGCAAAAGGAAAGACTTACTGTATATAGCCAGAACAAAAAGTGTGGTTGGGTTTCATGCACAGTGTGCAGTAAAGGCACCTGGTCAGCTGAATTGTGAGGGTCTTCCGCGTCGAAGTTCAACTGCTTGGGCACAGCCTCCTAGCATTGACCGGGTAATAAGTTTAAGCCCATCAAAACAAACCAAAAAAGGTTCCAGTGTATACGCTGTTTTTCAGGCAACTCAACACTTAAATTGTTTGAGAAGCCTCCTCAACATCTTCGGTTTCACGAGGCCGATAGGGTGTACTAAGCTTCCAATTGCGCTTCGTTTTCGGGTAGCACGGCGAAATTTCCTCAGAATGACAAAAGAAACTGTCAAATACTGCCAATAGAGATGGAACAAGTGGTGTTATAAGTTATTGTTTCACCCGAATACGTTGAGCTTAGTTTCAGGCAATGGAGACATTGGGGATAAAGCACATGGAGGCAGCTCAATGGGTGATCCCACAGGCTTCACTGCAGCGGCCTCCCTCCCAGGATCCTGCACGGAAGTCTCAGCATTGACATCCTGCCGTTGGGCTGCACTCATGGGTCTGGAGGATGTAAAGATATAATGGATGGTTGTCAATGTTCCAAATGAAAAATCATTCCTAGCACTGGGAACATAAATAAAGTATCAAGAATGCTAAACATGTTTCACTGTCAAATATGGTTCTGCAAATCAACAACAGCTGCTCCTCCCAATGTTCGTCAGCAAACATTGGGACTGTGTCCAAACAGTCCATCGTAGACATGGCAGGGGCAACTTTGGCTATGGGCTTTCCAATTTGGCGCTTACGGGCTGCCTTGAGAAGGTAATGCATCCGCCTCACCTCCTCTGTAACCCACTCCCCAGAAGAGGGCATTTCAAACCTCTTGCGAACACGGCGGCAAACGTCTTTTGCCAGTTTGAAAGTGAGAATGCGGCCTTTACCAATGAATTGGAGCACCCACCCACCGAAAATGTTCTTAATAGATTTTCTTCGTAGACCCCCTACTGGCAATATTCTGTTGGTGTTGTGCATTCGTTTTTGGTGGCCCTTGGTGTGGAGCTTTTTGCAAATCTGGTCCACTATGATCTTCACATGCCCTTTTCGGACAGATTTTTGATGGCGTTGTCGCGACGGCATGGCGTCACCACTATAGAAAATGATGCGAGTATATAAAGCATGTTCACATAAAATCCACATATGCATCTTCAAATGGAATCAAATTTCCAGAAACCGCGTCCCTGAAACGTATCCACGTGTAAACAGTTGCTACATATAATATACATATATAATCATCTATATATATATATATATCGTAGTTTGTTTTTGGTTTCGACTTGTTTCATGGCTATATGAATTTGAGCTCCCAAAGACTGAGGAAGGGATACATAAATACATGTTCGCCCCAACAACATCTGAACCACGAGCAGCTGCACTAGCCACTTGCCTGGCCAAGGTAAAGGACTGGCACAGCAGAGGGCCCGTGCGCAAAATGCGCCATCGATCTGGAATTGGTGAAATGGTGTTTACTGGCAATTTATTTAAAGGCATTGTTTTCCCAATTTTAAGTTAGCATCAATCCAGAAATGTTTGGCAAAGCCGAGCTGTCAGATGTTTCGGTCACCCTGATCTCAAATGAGAAATGGGTGAAAACATCTGAAAACTTAACAGAGAACATGTGTCAAATTGGGATGGTAGTGAATTGAAATAATTTCTAGTTCATGTTATCGAGCTGTAAGGACCCCTAATTTCGACATGTGTCCTGTTTGAACCAACCCAACCAAGCGAGCCACGGGCGTTGAATCTTGGACCCTCGCCGCATGCATGCATGAGGCAAAAAAAATGTGGATCAGCGACCCGCCATTGAAAATAAGCATGCTCCATTTTTTGGGGCGCATATATACCCCAAACACATGGACACAAAGTAGAATGCAGCTATCCCCAAACATGTATTTTTCGTTTTTTTGGGATTATATAGGTATGGATAGGTATGATTTATCATTGTTTGGTGTTAATGTTGTTGTCAAGTAACGCTTTTCAAAACCAAAGTTCATGATCAGTATATATGCAACTTAAGGTACCACGTGGTCGAAATAGGTTTTGTTGACTAAGATGCTGCGCCTGCCACACAAAAAGACAGCACAAATGTCCACAAGCAACTTTTCATCATGCAAACTTGCATCCAGCCATGCCTGGATGTGGTCGTGACATGACATGTCTGGGCACAGACACAAGACTGACAAGGTAAGGGGTCCTATGTGGCCATTTGAGTGGCTGCCAGGGTCCTAAGCGACACTTTGGGTTTAGGGTCCTATAAGGTCTCTCAACCTAAGCTGGTCCACGAGGCAGATGCCTCTCAAGCTTTGAAGAATGCCTTACATGGAGGACCAAGACCAGCCCGGGACTTTGAGATTGGTCAACTCGTTTATTTCTGGAGGAAAGGAACGGACGGACCGAAAAAGAACCGACCAGGTTTCTGGAGAGGACCCGGATGCGTGGTGCTGACATCACCACCGAGCACGGTTTGGGTGAACTACCGGGGCTTCATTGTCAAGGCAGCACCAGAACAGCTTCGTCTGGCCACTGAGGATGAGAGGTTTACCCTGACCGGATGGATCAACGACCTAGCCGGGACCAGGGAGGAAATCGAAAGATTTCCTCGGCAAGGCTATATCGACCTCACCAAGGACCCGTTCCCGACCAACGAGATAGAGGATGAGGACCCGGAGGAGCAGCCAGAATCGAGAGATGGACCTCGATTCCGACTTCACGGAAAGACAGCACGAGAACAAGTACCACTGCGAGACAACGAAGATCCTGGTGATGAATGGATTCTGGATGAAAAACAAGGAATGCTACATCGAGTACATCGGCAGCCTCGCGAGTCCTACTTCCAACCGAGTGAGGATTGGCTCATGTGCCCGGTTGACCGGAGTCGCATTCGAAGCTGCCGAATGACTCGAGGCAATTACACCTGTGGAGGCGAACCGTTTTACAATGAAGATGACTGGATTGTGAAATACGGAAATGAGACCCCGATGATGCCGTGGACTGGAAGAACCACGTTCCGTCTACATCCACCCGAAGTTCAACCTTCCGGAGGAGACCTTTGTCGCGGACCCCTTAGACCTTCTGGAGAAGAACGACACGCCGCGGAGATTGACGAGAAGGACTTTGAAGAAGGACCTCAACATCTGCGAAGAGGTCACGAGGAGGTAGCCGATGGTGATGGTGAAGAAGAGGGCCCTCTAACCAAGAGGTTTAGAGGGAGTATGATCGAGACTGAGGACGAGTACACCCCGAGTTTAGCGGAAGATGAGACTGAATCGTTGGCCAGAGGAGAAATCAGACCTCGAGATGAGGATGAGATGTCTGGACCGAGCCACAAACGTCATCGGTCAGACGTGCTGGACTTCTATCTCACGTCCGTGGAGAAGGTCATGGCCGCCAAGCTGAAAAAGGAGGTGACATTCGGGAAACTTGACAAGGAGGAGAAGAAGCGCTTCCAGAAGGCTTTAGAAAAGGAAGTGAAGAACAACCTCAAGACTCAGGCCTACACGATCCTTTCACCTGAAGAATCGGAAGAGATTCGCAGGAACCAGCCAGAGAAGATCGTAAAATCAAGATTTGTGATGACGGAGAAGAACATTGATGAGGACGAGATCGAGAAGGCCAAGCAGGAGGGAGTATTACTCAAGGAGGATGGGCCTAACAGCACCAAGGCGAAGGCTCGACACGTCATGAAAGGTTTCAGTGAGGAGAACTCAGAAAACCTTGAGACGACAACTCCACAATGTGGCCGGGAAACCGTGCTGAGCGTGCTTCAACTGATTTGCAGCCGGAAATGGATACCTGGCTACCTGGACTTCACCCAAGCCTTTCATAGTGGGGATGACATCCAGCGCGAGATCTATGCGGCTCAACCTCATGACTGTCCTCCACCTGGTTATTCACCTCGTCAGCTGCTGAGACTCTTGAAAACTTGCTATGGCCTTTTGGATGGGCCCTACGCCTGGTATCAGCACCTGAAAGGAGTCTTGCTGAAACTGGGCTATGAATGCAGCGCTGCTGACCCCTGCCTTTTCTATCTGTTCGGTCAGAAGCGAGAACTACGAGGAATCATCAGTGTCGCCACCGATGACCTGCTTCATGGAGGTGATGAACAACATTGGCAACATATGAGATGGATCAATGAGAACTATAAGCTCGGAAAATTCACCTCTGGAAACGGGCGGTTTGTCGGCAAGGAGATTGTCTGCAATTCCGATGGCACCTTCCTGGTACACCAACAGTTGTACACCCAGAAGTTACAACCAATCAAACTTGAAGCAGCCCGGAAGAAACAAAAGTATGCCTACTGCTCGGAGAGCGAAATCAGCCAGTTGAGAGGACTTCTGGGAGGGCTCTCATGGCTGTCTAAGGAGACTAGACCAGATCTTGCTGGCCGAGTTGCTCTACTTCAGCAGTCGATGCCGAAGCCCTTCATCCAGGACATCGTGGAGGCCAACGCTTTGGCTCGCGAGGCCATCAAGTATGCTTCGACTGGACTGAGGATTCATCCCATTCCGATTCAACATCTTCGAGTAGGAACAGTGACGGACGCATCCTGGGCCAATGTTCGATTGGACGAAACAGTTCCATCGGAAGACTTTTGGGAAGAGAGGAAGGACCGATGGATTCGACATCACGTACAACCACGTCGACTTCTTTTTCATCCTGCTTCAGTACCAGGAGGTCCTAACGTATATGACCTTTGTGAAGAGCGCTACACCGTGGCCGATGGAGAGGAGTTCGAGGATCAGTGGAACAATCGACAGAGCATCCGCACTCATCGCGATGAACAATGGTGTGGTCAGACTGTCTTCAAGAAGAAACAGGAAAAGGAACCGGACAAGAATGTCAATGAGAAGTTTATCCAGCAGGATAAGCTAGCCAGCCAAGGGGGGTATATCACGTTTTTCTACGATGCTCGGATGGAGACAGAGGAGAAGGCATACCCGATTTCAGTGGTTAGCTGGAAGAGCTTCAAAATCAAGAGGTGCACGGTGAACACCCTGAGTGCTGAATGTCAGGCCATGATACATGGCGTTGGGTCGATCCACTGGCTACGTTTTCTACTACAAGAATCCTTCGATGGAAAGCTTCGCTTGGAGGACTGGGAGGAAGCCATTGGAAGGATCCCTTGCATTGCGGTGACGGACAGCAAATCACTCTTCGATACAATGCAGAAGTGCTGCAACACCTCGGCCCACATCGAGGATAAGAGGACCGCCATCGATGTGACAGTGCTCAAACGCGACTTTCAGCAGACCAGAGGCCAGGTTCGGTGGATTCAGGGTGCCGAAATGATTTCCGATAGCCTTACTAAGAAAATGGGAAGTAGCTTTCTGAGAAACGTTTTGCAGAAGGGAACATGGTCCTTATCGGAGAAGGGTTTTAGCCAGGAGTCAAAGATACTTCTGTTGATTTCAGCCAACAGAAATTCTGGCCGATGTGAATTGGGGTCAGGTCTTGGCTGAAATCTCTTTTCGCTTGCCTGTGTGGCGTCGCAACACTGAGACGAACTGCATTAGACGTTGTGGCTCAATTGGGCCTTGGGTGTCTACGCGGAAAAAGGTCCGCTGCACGCATGTTTGCGTTCACAATTATATATAATATAATACACAGTATATATATATAGATTGCAATTATATAGTACATGCATATGATAGATCGCTGAGACAGTGTGATACCGAATTGGGAGGCCTTCCTGAACTGGAGATGCGTTTCTGTGACTTTGCTTTGTGAGCGTCGAGTTCAACAGGTTCGCAACACGCCCAGTCTGTGCAGGGTGTGCACATTGTGCACACCGGGGATCAAGAAAGGAGTCTGTTTGAACATTTTTCATGAGAGATTGATGAGACATGAAACCTCCTCCGACAGTTGGATGGGGTTTGTGTTCTTAGATTTGACATGATTTGACATATTTGACATATTTGACAGGAAGCCAAAGCTGCTGCTAGCGAATGTGCTGCTCTGCAGCTGCAGGCAGATTGGGCTTGAGATGGCTTGAGACATAAAAACGATAGAACTTGGTCAATAGGTCCAACATGAACTGAATACGAAACAGTCATTTATTTTCAAATGAATACGTTGTCAATATTTTCGGACATGTTGTTGTACTTATCTTTTTACTGGCACGCCATGGTACGCCTCTTGCCCTATGCGAAGGTGGACCACTGGCGACATCAATGCAAGGCTGTGGCAGTTCACATCGTGTGACTTTCACGGCTTCATCACCTGAACTGTCACCGGTTCGGAGGAAGCCTCTGAGCGCCCTGTGACCGCGCCTTCTGCGGTTACTTCTTCCCATGTGCCATGCCAGTCAAGTTATGAATGGAGACGAACTTCAAGAGAACAATGATTGACACCCAAACAATCCTAAACAGGAACGAAAAGTTGAAACAACTGGATGAAAGATATGAAAGGATGATTAAGGCGGGGTTGCATCTTGCGATCCCTGCGTCTTGCCGCGCCATGAATATCTGAGGTCCTCCTCGCCTGGAGATTCGTCTCTGAATCGCAACGGGCCCTGCGAGCACAGCGTTCCGTGGCCAAGGCACGGTGCAGCGACAGCTGCGAACGGTACAACGAAGCAGAACGAAGCGATGCAATGCGTGCAGCTTTCGAGGTCTTCACAGCTTGGACTGTCGTCATCCGAGAAATTGCAGAGCCGAGAATCTGCAGAAATTCCAGGCCTATATGAATCAAATGAATTACATACGAATCATCTCATGCTCATTCACTATGCTTGTTGAATGTGCGTTGCATTTTGCATGTCTTCTGAAGGCACACGGATTTAATCGTTGATACCAGGGCTGAGTGCGCCTTTGCCTCAGGTTTTTTTTGCCTTTTTTTTTTTCCGCATCACACAGTCCAATACCCGTCCATTTCGGTTCAAAACAACATATATATATATATTCATTGTTGAACTTCGTTTAACTTCGCATGTCCAAGGAAAGGGACTTGAAATGCTCGGGCAAGGCCTTGACACCAGATGCCAAGGCGGTTGGGGACATGCCAGGCATTGAAACAATGTCGGCTTGGAGTAAAAAATGAAGAAATCCTAGGGCTGCAGAGAGGAAACGCATCGTTTGCGTTTGCAAAATTTCGAATGGCAAAAGAATTGTCGGATGGAGTCCAGTGCTTCGCGACAGGAAACTGCTGTGCTTCGCCTGATTTTACTGGCTTTGCAACTGAATGCTCAGGCACAGCATGGCACAGCATGGCACAGCATGGCACGGGATGGCACAGAACACAAGCAGACAACTTCCACATTTGGCTGCAGTTTTGATGCGCAGACAGCGGGAATTGGTCTCGCATGTTTTCCAACGCAGTTTTCCATCTTACTGAACCTTCAAAGCTTCAAAATCTTCAAAGCTTCAGATCGTTTCCAAAGTGTTTCCCTGAGTCAATGTTTTTTGCAAGGCTTACCGAGCAGAGCGAGAGGCGACGGGTCTTGGATCAAGAGACTAAGAGACACAGTTTTACGCAAGAAATGTTGATGTCATTCGGCATCATTTCGTGATATTTTAGTCTTCCGCAAGGTTTCATTTTTCATTCCACGGCATTTTGTGTTTTTGACATTGGGGTCAGATGGTGTGTGAGTCACTGTCCCAATTTCCCTGCAAGTTTTCAAGTGTCCAGCTTGAGATGTCGCCAGGGGTTCTTCCGTCAAAGTCACGGCGAACCATCACCAAAGGTCCTCGTAGGCTTGGGCTTCAACACTTGTAGCGTGTCATGTAACGTCCAATGTTCAACGCCTTGATAGAGCTTGGACCATTGCGCTTAGACCTATTTGAATCTATTTGACCTGAGATGTGAGCATTTGCATCACCTTTGTCAGGTCCAAAGATGGGCGCACCAGATCTGAAGGACAAATCCTGCATGGCAATCATGGTAATGTCATATTGTTTCTGGCGAAATTTAGCACATAATTGTGGCACATTGTGGCATGGATGTCATCACTGACCTCCTACAATTTGAACCTGAAAGCTGGTGGAGGACGTCTTCCTTGCATGGCACAGCTGCCAGGCCCGATACAAACACATGCGAAGACATGCACCATACCGTCCGGTGCAAATCATAGCTGATCTGTTGATATCCGTTGCGGGTTGACCTCAAGGAGCATAGAGCGAGCGACGAGGAGATGTGTAGTTACAACGCCAAGGAGAGGTGTGATGACGACGACGAACCGTGCCATGGATTTGACAAATCGACCTGTCCGGCCTGGGTAGACCTGGGTCGACCTGGACTTTTCCCAAAGATGTTGACACATTGCCAGGAGACATGGCAGACATGGCAGACATGGCAGACATGGGACTCGTAGCATCCCCAGATTCCCCAGTCCTCCGAACGGGCTCTTGAAATCCTTCGAGAATCCTTCGAGAATGCTTAGGGACTTAGTGCATCGCCACACAGACAGTGAAGTCAACAAGGCTTTTGACGACCCTTGGAGGATCCTTTGAGGGAATACCGAAGCCTGTAAGAGTTGCATGGAACCTGCTAGGCAAAAGAAATTCAAAATTTCACTGACATCACTGACAACCTGCTGAGAATTTGCAGATTGAGGTGTTTGTTGTGGATGAGTTTCCACGCCTTCAGGCACGGTGTTACGAGTGTCAATGAGTGTCATGATCTCACTGCGTTTGTACATCAGTTTGTACATCATGAGGTGCTACGATCCATTGCTTGGCTAGGATGGCGGTCTGTGGCGAGTCCAGCATGGCCTGGACCTTGGCTTCATTGTCCGCACACGGGAGATCCATTGCGAGATCTGACTTGTGAGATCTCAGATATCACCAGATATCACTCTCCGACTCAAGATGGACATTTTGCACCTTGTGAAAGCTGCAACTTTGATGTTTGCTGCCAAGCTGTTCGAAAAGCACTGTAGCTAAAGCAAAGTCATAAGTGCAGATCTGTAGCAATTTGGAGAGAAAAACATACTTGTAGTGCATGGCACTACAGTGCCCGGCTTCAACCTCGTGCAATCCTACAGAAGAATTCGACTTTGACAACTCCAGACCTTGAAGTTTTGACATTTCAATTTTGTACTCCATGCGTCCCCTCTGACATGGCGCCAGAACCAGAACCGGAAGGATTCGGCTGCTGCTGCAACGACTGCGCGCCTGGAGAGCTCGTTGAACCCGCCTCGAAGGGCAGAGATTCAGCTGAGGCTTTGGAACAGGCAACGGACATCAACGGACCCTATCCCCAGCCAAACATATCTCGAACATGTGGAACATGTGAACCCTGCAACAACTCGCCATCTGGAGCGTATGAACATTGTTAGCATCTCATCTACCCATTCCACCCCAAGTGGAGCAGCACATCATCTATGCAAGCAATGCAAGCAATGCAAGCAATGCAAGTGGACTTTGACAGTGCACCCTTTTCCACCGTTGCATCATCATACCATCTGCATCTGCGTTCAGTAGACCAAGTGTATCAAAATGGATGCCCAAACATGATAAACAGATATAAACAGATATAAACATTACCAAACAAGAACTCAACTGAGAATCCCATCCCAAAACCTAGCCCTTGCCAGCCGCACAGCCGCGATGTTGTGACAGGTGGGCGGAGGCTTTCTGGCTGGAGTTCAGAATGCAGCTGGCGTTGTGATGGAAGCTTTGCAAGACGATGGAGTTTCAGAAGAATCCGATCCGGTGCGCGGGCTGTGGGCATGATCAAGACATATCAAGACTTTGTTTTGAGCTTAAAAAGTGCTAAAAATGAGCTTTCAAGGAGCTTTCAGAGAGTTTTTTCTTGTAACTGTCAGAAACACACATTTTCGGCATGGCATGTAACTGTCGATTTCATGAACTCTGCCAGGGCGCTGGAGGCCAAGCCTGATGCGATGGGGGCTGTGGCTGATCCCAGAAGGATGAACCCATAGGATGCCATACAGGGCCCTAGAGGGCCATAGAGGGCCATACAACACAATCATAGTACATCAAATTCGATCAACACAATCAGAATACATCAGAATACATCAGAATACATCAGAATACATCATAGTAATTACATCTATAGTACATCAATGCGCAGTAAGATTTTGTCGTTTCATTTCTGGGTCCCAGAATCTGACGAAGACCCAGTGCGACCTTCGGTCGAATTTCGTTGCCCTGGGAGGTCATCACTGGTTTCAGCACAAGTCCTACGTTCACCACAGTCACATCACAGTCTCTTGGAAGTTCACAAAGTTCAATATCAAAAAATATATTAAAATATAGTATGATAATGCATGATACATATAAATGTCAAAGATATGGTTATCTCATCTTGTCTCTTGTTTCAATGATGTTGAAACACATCGAAACCTGAGCTTCAACAGCATTCACCATGGCGCCCTAATGGGCCCTTTTTCGCCTAGGTGAAGATGGTGGGCGTTTTCGTGGCGATCGGGCTGATTGTGATTTCCATTTTGGACATCTTTGGCATTGCCAGGGATCCAGCTGATGCCTTGCCCTTCCACTACGTGCACAACATCTGGAATATCTTTTTTGGTGTCTTGATGATCTTCATGGATGCTCCAGCCAAATGGCTAGGGAAGGGAGCTGCGTGGCAGACTGCTTTGTGGCAAAAAGCACCTTCTTTGGGCAAAGCCAGGACGGTTTGCCACAAAAAAGGGGTAGAGGTTGTATGTGGCCATATGTGGCCATATGTGGCCTACGTCAGAATATGTCAGAGGTGAAACAGCAAAGTGCAAGTTGTATCATAGATTTGGTTCATAGTCGCAGTGCTTTTTGTGGGATTTCAGGGGCTTCAATCGCTTCTTCCTTTCAGATTGTGACGTCGCCACATGTCTGAACGATCCAGGGGACGTGCGCTGGTTCACTTCTACGTGGGTGTCATCAACCTTGCGATGGTGAACTGGAGCCCCTTCACACTGTGGACGAAACATGGCTAAGATCAGCTGGACATGTTTCGTTTCCAAACATGAACAGAACCACAGCATGTTAATAAAGTTAATAAATGTTAATAAAATGTTGTTATATGTTGTTATATGTTCTTGAATTTTTCGTCATTTTTGTGGAATGAGGATTGTGAATCTGGCGCGGGGAGGGAGCTTAGTGACCTGCTCGGTGATCATGTTGCTGAATCATCACACCTACCACTGCCAGCGCCGGAGCCACGTGCGTCGCAACTTCAACGGCGCCGCGGCGGCGGCCAAGGCGTCGGAAGCGCTGCATGAGTTCCAGGAGGAAGCCCTGGAGGACGGACAGTCATTGAGCTGCCACGTTTCAAACGCTTTTTTTCCAAGTCTGGAACTTAATTCATGTATATATCAAATCTAATGTATATATATAATTATATATATAATGTGTCTAATGTATTATTCTTCTAGATCTGTTTCTAAGACTCTTCCGTAAAGTGTCTCAGAATTCTCAGAGCCGCCTCGCAAGTTGCCTTCTTGCGTGATCCACGTTAATCCACGTTGATCCCTGAAGGTGCGGTCCTACATTGCCAAAAATCACTGCACGACGCGCATTGTGAGCTTTCTCGCGGCCATAGCATTGATCGTCATCTCCATTTTGGGGATGATCAATGCAGGGAAGCCAAGTGAAACAAGACAAAAGAGATCAACAAAACAGAGATCCATAGTGAAACAAAAGAGATCCCAGAAGATTTAAATTAAAGAGCTCCCAGAAGGACACAAAAAGAGATGCACTTCATCAGGAAACATGGACAGGTCAAAGATGAAAGGTGAAGTGTTGAGGCTGATGGTAACATCGTTTGATTCTATCGTATGGTTGAAAAAGTACAGAATGAGGCAGAAAGAATATCAGACGAACAGGCCACCGGATTCCATGTGGCTCAGTATTCACAGCTTGAACGCTGACCCAGGTCTTAGGTGCCCTCTTCAGCCCCTTCCACTACGTCATCGGCATTTTTAACTTCTTTTGGGCCATCATCATCGCGCTGATAGATGGGGAAGCCAGCTGGTTCGCAAAATGCGGCAATTGCCGCGTCAGTCTCTTCCGGTGGTTTCCCGTCTTTGCAACGCTCCCAGGAAGATCCATGCTGCATTTCTATGTCCCTCGGCAAAGGCAGATTATGGCTTATGGATGCTTATGGCAGATTCCAGGGCAAGGGTGAAATATCTCTTTGGATACATGATGTCCATTGATGTCCATTGATGTCCATTGATGTCCATGTCCAACATGTTTGGAGCTGCAAATATCTGCGACTTGTAAGGTGGGTAGTATCAATGTCGTGATGCTTCCTGGCGGGCTCATGGTGCCAACCTTAGAAATTGAATTCAGAAGCACAAAGCCACCAGGGAAGGTCATCAGAGCAGAGTAATATAGAGTAATCCTCTTGCAGCTCTTGCATGTTTTGCACGTTTTGCACAATTTTTGCATGTTTTCTGAGGATTTCCTCTACGTTGCTTTGGGAGGAACTCTCATGTTGTGTTCCTTGCTGATGCTTTGTCATCACAACTATTGCCTGGAAATTCCCAAAATGATGAAATTGCCTGGCTCCACCTGAAATGAGACGGGCAAGGACCCACAGACCTACCTGACTGACAAAGACAGCATGGGATGTCATAGGACATCATGGGATGTGGGTCAGAATTTTCGAATTCATGTCTACAGATGTCTACAGTGTGGCCTTTGAAAAAAGGCTGCAGGTTCCACGCCTGCAATGGCTGGCTGGGAGAAACCAAATTGATCTGGGAATGTCCTGAACAATAGGGACCTGAACAGATCCAAGCTTCTGCTCAGCTTCTGCTCAGCTACTAAGCTTCTGCTTGTACCATAGACTTGGACACCCACTTTTTGCACCTAAAACCAGTTTTTTTTTTTAAACGGCAGTTTTACAAATTGTCAGAGCGAATCTATGGAAAGATTGGAAAGCTGAGAGTCGATGGTCGCATGGCTGGCACCGCAAGATCCTCCAAGGCTGGCCCGGCTGGCCACCAATCAGGACGACCTGAGCTGTGACTGCACCAGTTTTCAGTTTCCACACAGTTTCCAGAGTTTCTGAAGGGGGAGAATTCACTTGTGCATTTTGATGCATTTGCTTTTTGAGTCTTAGACATGGAGTAGACATGCCAAGTCGATACTCTTCATGGCACTTGGACGCTATTGCAGCGGCAGGCGCTTCAGCCCAAGGTGGAAGCACGTGCAAAGCCCAGTTCTTTCGCTGGAGAGCACCCGACTTCCCTTTCTTTCCATCTTTCAGAGTGTCCAGGTCGCAGTCGGCCCCTCTCTGCCCACAGCTCGGTCCGGTGTGGAACGGCGCTGTAGGGCTGTAGGGCTGAACTCAGAATGCGAGGCGAGCAGATGGAGCAGATGCAGCAGACATCGTTTTGCGAGAGAGCTCACGTGGTGAAAGACTTCGAGCCTCACTTGTCACGAGTATCTTGGTGCATGGTACAGCATGGTACAGCATGGTACAGCTTGAAGAATTGCTGCCATTTGTAATCCACGTGCACCATGTTTGGCATTGTTTGGCATGACAATTTGTTTGCCATTGCCGTTGTTTCACATGTTGCTTTCCAGTCGTGTTTTCCCTCCATCCCCAATGTTCTGCTGATCCAGGTTACTGCTGCAGGTCCAACGCCCGGAGACAAGGTCGGACAGACTTGTTGTGCAGATACAGTCCGAAAGACTTGTTGTGCAGATGTCATATCAAACTCGGAATATCTCGGAATAATTTTTGTTATTTCCAGATGTTTGAAGATATGAAATGTGATGAGCACAATTTATTCCTTGCAGCTTTGGCTTGAGTCAGCAATGAAGTGAAGGAGCCTTTCGGGCTCCTGTAGACCCTGGAGACCCTAGCAGTGACCTGAACGGTAGACACTGCGGGACTTCAGGGTGTGCCAAGTTGAGTCAAGTCCAGTGGCGAACACTGGGTGTACCTGACGTGATCTGGCCATGTCTTTCAAATCGAGCGCCGTATGTCTTTCTTTGATTGCAGAGATCGTGGGCTCAGATGCACTCGAACATCGGAGCTCACTTGCCTTAGTCGAGTCACACGCGTGGGAGTCGGGGAAGTGGTGGCAGTGGTCCTTCAGCCAATTCGACGCCTTTAGCATTCCGTGCTTCTTAGCGGGTCTCACAGTGCCTAGACTTGGTCAGAAAAGCTTTTTTAGTGAAAGCATAAGCATCTTCATGCCGTTGTCATATCATAGTCACAGCTAATCGTTTCACCATGTTTCACCCTTTTAGTAAATATTATATAGTAGTAGATACTGTATTCATTCCTCATAATTATGGGAGGATTGGGAGGTACTTCAAAAAGCACTTTGTCGAAGAATTTTGTCGGTTGACTGGTCAATCTGATGAGATTTGAGGTGGGTGTCCTCCTGACGGTGACCGCCTTTGGCTTCTTGACGGATCGACTTTCCTTTCCCGCCGTGACTTGGCACTGTGATTCCGAAGTGGCAACAACTTGATGCTTTTGAAGCCAACTTGAAGGCAATAGACATTCAGCAAATCAACACTTAAGACGGACACCAATCAATGTTCAATCCGTGAATTCATTTGGAGCAAGTGTCGCAGGAGAAACGAGGCAACCTCGAAATCCTCGAAGATGGCGAGACGACCAGTGAGACATCTCAAACAACTCGGGCAACTGGTGAGAGAGAACCGAAGGGTCCGAAGGAAGAGCACCAAAAGCATATCGAGCAGGAGCAGCAACAGTTCCAAGTGGAAGAATCGCTGCATCTTTTCTGGCCGCGATGTGCTTGGCTTGTTGCCATGCTTCTGGTGCAGAGTCTGTCTTCGTTCCTCGAACTTGTGGATCTACATGTATGGCACTTGTGCTGTTGAAGTCCTTCTCAACTCGCAGCATCATATCATAAATTAAATTAATATAATATAATTTATATGATATTATCTCGGTCTTGAGTCTCATGAGTCTCCTTGTTTCAGATGTTTCAGATCTCAGGTTGATCTTGGACTCCTTTAGCGGGCTGATGCAAAGACACATGAGCTGCATTCTGAGATGGTGCATCGGTGCAACCTCTTGCCCCATTCACCGAGAATTGACCAGCGAACTGGAGATTCCTTGACATTCCAATAAAAGACTTTAAAACATTTTAAGACTTGAAGTTTAAACAAGTTGGAACTGGAAAAAAGATCTCCAAACCCTGAGGCCTTGCCTTTTTCCTCACGATGCTCGTGGGTTTGGGAGGTGCGACATGGAGCCAACATGAACCAATGACTTCCCGTTACAGACTGCCATGTGGCCATGTCATTCCAAAGTCTCTAGCAACACCTTTGGCTTTGCTGGCTCTTTTCGTTCTTCCCAAAGAGTTGCAACCCTTGTTCTGTGTGCACCTGTATGTTCGTTGCAAGCACATCTGAAAAAGTTTCTTGATCAGGCAATGCTGGTGGGCAAAGCGTGGTGTTGACAGTCAGGCGTTTGGCTTTGGGCAACACAGTGAAGGTGCGGTGCAGAGAGCAGAGATTGGATATGGAAAGATCTTGTGGCTGCGTATCTTCGGAATCGACCGTAAGATGTCGGACACTGTTAACAATTGTTAGGGGTTTGACATCCCTTGATGTTAGACGAGAGACTGTGGTCCACTTTGAAGAATCCTGCGACAAGAATAGCAGACGCCGCTTTGAGTGCCAGGTGTCTGAGCAATTCCATGTGGGTTTGCTGCTGGTGCTGGTCATGGTTTTATTCTCAGCCTTGAGGGCCTTAAGCCTTGAAAACTTCGAAAACCCAATTTCGGACCTGTTCCGTTTGAATCCATTTGATCAATTGTTTCAAAACTTCAAAAAACTTCGATCCATTTGATTCAGGCTCCATTGGCTTTCGTCCGTGCCCTTCTGCAGCAGACGTCCTGGCGAGAGAGTCTTGCTGTAGGCACCCAAAAACGCAAACATTTCTTCACGGCGGAGTGTTCTTAGTCACCATTGGTCACCAGCCCTTCTTGTTGCCAGTTGCCTTTGCCAGTTCGTTTTTGGGATTGCACCAGGTGCCTCTGCAGCTGTGATCACAGTGGTGGCGACCGTGGTTGGAACGGCGCTGCCCAAGCTCTTGTGGCCGCTTGGCAAACGATCTGCTTGGCAAACTTTCCAACTGTTGCATTTGCAGGGAAAGTGATGGTGAAAATTGTATCCAAATCTTGGCTTCAACACCGATTCCCCTGTGCATTTGATGCGCTATAGACATAGCGAATCAACCCAGCTGTTGCCACCTGGTGCCACTCGAGAGCTCTTTGACAAAACGCACACAGTTGTTGATGTCGAGACACGTTGGGCCAATCCATTCGTGCTTGGCCAAGAGTCTTGAGGTTCTTTCAAGTGGACCCAGCTCATGGGGCTGTTGGAGTGCAGGCAACAATTCCCAACATTGTTTTGAGCATTTGCTGAAACATGTTGAATATGTTGAATATGTTTACACTACGTTTTTTGAAGTGCAAGAATCTCTGTTGCAATTGCTGCCAAGTGTTCTCACATCGCAGGTTCTCATGGACATAGCAGGCCTGAAAGCTGTGCAGTATTGTGTCCATTCGTCCTATGTTCATTGCGATCTGTTTTCACTGGAAGCCTATTTCCGTCGGAGTTGCAAGGCATTGCCGTTGTATGCTGTCTTGGCTACCTCTTCCTGGAAAGCTCCCTGGTGTGATGTATCAAGTGTAGCTGACACGGAGCTTCCACGAAGACTTGGCCTATCTTGGCTGTCTCACCGTCAGAGTGTACCTTTGACGATCCCAAAAAGGCTCAGAACATGCGGTCACGACACTGGATCGCCCCAGATCTGCCCATTCTCTCTTATCTTACATGAACATAACATGAACATAACATTAATATAACATGAACATAACATGAACATATGCATTCCTTTTTCGCGAAATGATTTTCGGCCAATCATGTTCCGCGGAAGCTTCCTGCTAGGCCAAGTGCGCTGCAGCAAATCCAGCTGGGCCTTTGCCTCCAGTCGTCTGTAGCTTAAATCTTCAGGCTTCGAGACACAAAGCAAATCAAAGCAAAATGGTTTTCAGCGAAAGATCTTCAAACATCTTCAAACTTCAACGGAATCAACATGAATCAACTCATTTCAATTTTCATCAGAGCGCCATCCAGTGCCGTCCAGCTAAGGGCAGCCCGAGAGATTCTGTGAAGGCAGGGCGACACCGATCGCCTCTGCTGTGATTTTTCGATGTGTTCCTGGATGGGAACATTCTTCATAATCTATCGATTGGTACCACATTCTATCACAACAGATTGGCCTCACTTGCGATGTCCTCTCTTTGTTGGAAACTTCACACTCGGACGCAATGAGATGCAGGCAGTCTTTGCTGCTCTGTCTGTCTGATTCTTGGATCATTTCCGATTCTGTTGCCTTGCAGTTCATGCTTCAAATTCCCAAGGTGATGTGCGATGATGTGCCATGATGTGCATGGTGCCATTAGGGTTTGGATGATTTGGCTTTGGATCATGGCTCAACGAAGTCAACCGAACCTGAACCGTCCCAGACTATGATTTTCTGCGGGGTAAGACGGCTTTGATCCACAAGCAAATGGAGGTAGCAACGTGCCTTTCATCCACAAGTAAAGGTTAAATTTGAAAGGCTTTGTAGTTCGGCGATGCAGCGGTGCACAAGGCTCGCACACGCTCGATGCCATATCAAAGTCCTGTGCAAAAGACTGTTTGATATCACATCAACATATTTTTTTTCGAAACGCAACACACCAAAATGTGTTGGATTTCTTTTAGCAAAATTACTTTGCGTCAGATGATCCCCATCCTGATATTTGGAAGAAACATCTGACATACAGTCTATGATACATGGTGACACTCTACATGTCATATGAGTCATATGTCTTCAATGTATTCAGGGAACTACTGCTACATAATCTGACACATCTATAACATGAATATATTCTGACATATATGACCAATATTCTTGGACCTGACATACACATTGTCAGACATAACCGACGCAATCTGACACATAATCTGACGTCTTGTCTACATACATTCTGGCATAGTATCTCGAATCTCGCATATTGACACGCATTTTAAGCTACGCAGGACGAACAATTGCACAGGTTCCCTTTAATTGAGGATGAGCTGCCCAGATATTCTGTGAAGACACCTTGAAGACAGATCTCATGATGATGTCTCAATAAACCCACGGAACATGCAATCTTTTATTTGCAATCTTCCAGTTTGGAAGATGAGTTGCGAACATGGCCTGAGAAGAAGAGACATTGAAGACAGATATTCAGAACAAACAAACCTCAAACCCCGGAATACGAAGCAGTTGTTTGAATTGGTCATAAGCCAAGAGTGAACAATCCAGAGCGCATCGAGGTTGATTCGCCTGAAACTGTGGACAGTCCTGGTTCGGCAGGCGCCACTCGAACATGTTGAGTTTGTATCCGCTTGGTCACATGCTCAGTCAACCCGGATCAGGCTGGACAAGCTCTATGTCCGCAAGGGCCCAAGAGGCCCAAGAGCTTGTTTGGTCACAGCACTTGAGAGTCTTGAGATGCAAAGGGCCAGTCTTGAACCGGACATCGAGACCTGAACCATTCCTGATTCTCAAGTAAGATTTCATTATCGAGGCCCTCAACTGTTATCCATCGTTTTCAATGCAAAAGGAGGGAGTCGTTGTTTTTGACGTTTCAGACTCTAGAAGTACGGCTGGGATGCATCAGACCTTGGCAATTGAAGATGTCAAAGCAAGTGGAAGCAAATGTTTGGTGACGTTTACTTTAGGGATGTTTTGGGATCGCTGTGGTCGGCTGGATGGTCAGAACTTCGAGCGGAAATAGCCTCGTTGAAGTCACAAGTTTCGGACGACTTCAACATTGCACCTGCACTGAGATTGTGGGTGAGCAGTCTGGCGCACGAGGTAGGGAAAGTACGATGCAATGGAGACGGAGACGCTCGCACAATGAAAGGGTCTCGTTTCAGAGAGTGTTCACCACGTTGGTGCAGGAATTATTCGAGAACAAATCGCTGCTCAAAATTTGCGATCAGTGTTTTCTGTCTTTCTCTTGTTCGATTCTGTTTCCTTCTTTGGTTATCTTTGGTTTGGCGTCCATTCAAGTGTTCCCATGTGTTCCCCATATTCCCCGTCCATTGGCTCATATTCGGCTTACATTTTGGAGGTTCGCCTTCAGCTCTAAGTCCGGCCATGCATTTGCCTCAGCTGAGACCTGTGATTTTGAAGGTATCTGCCAGCGACCCCGGAAACGATCTCCATTGTTCATATTGTTCATGTCGTGTTCATTTGATATCTATATTTTTTGTTTCATGTTGTTTCCAATGTGCATTTTGTTTGGACAGGTTTACATTCGGGCAAGCACAATGAACAACTGAATCAACCAACAAAATTCTGGGCCTAATCTTCAGGTCACCGTTTCATAGATCGTTGTATGTTGCTGTAAGCCCGACAGCGCCCAGCAATCTGCTTGCCCCAAAAGTGCGAACACTGCCCAACATTGAAACAATCCAAACCCCCACACCTGAAAAACATTTAGCCTCTTTTCCACGCACCAAACTCTGCCCAGACCCAATGGGATAGAGAGGCGAGTCCCAAAGCACTGAAACGTTCAACCAGGTCAAACAACTCTAAGGAAAATCCAGAATGATCAGAATGAACATGGTTCAATATGGTTCAATATGGTTCAATATGGTTCAATATGGTTTGCGAATGTTGGTTTTGACAGTGAAGAGACTCTCAAAGCATCTTGATGCACTTCCGAGGTGGCCCGATCAGCTCGATTTTCCTTGCAGTGCTCGAATCGTGGAGAAGTGCAACGGATGATCCAACGGATGATCCAACGGTCATTCCACGGACGCCATGACAGCCGAATCACCGCCGTGTGCGGGCGTGTCCACAGCGGCTCGCCACTTTCAGCCAATGATCCGCTCAATGCAAGAAACAGCGATGCGCGCTGCAGTGACGCAGATGGACTCAGATGGATTGCCACTAGATCCACCATGATCCACCATGATCCACCATGAGATCTATGCGACCATTGAAACCTTAGAGTCCTTGGACATCCTTGGACTTGCGCCACATCACATCGATCCATGAGCCATGCATCACATAGCTGCAGATTTGGCCACAGACGAACACACGTGTACACATACACCCACAACATACTGCACACATTCTGCAAAGCTGTAGCTGCGACTCTAGACATTGACGTGGTAAGATATGTTATGCAAAATATGCTTCACTGGTAGAGCCAGTAGAAATCACCAAAAAAGACACTGAAAGCCTTGAAGCAGCTGAGCAGCGTCACCACGCTTCACAAGATTTCACAAGTATCATGCGAGCATGCACCTGATGGTGTGAGAATGTGTGAGATGGGATGAAGCCGAGCAGAACTTCGGGTGCCAGGGAAAGAGTGCGACAGGTGCCACCCGTGTGTCTGGAAGAGATTTCATCTCAGGATTGTTTGAAAAAAACAAAAAGGAAGTCACTGGTTTGTGCAAGATATATGCTGGGATATACATGGATGATATACTTGATATAATCGAAATTATTCGGAACGGAAGCAAGAATGGCAAGAAAAGACAAGAGGATACAGGAGGTAGAAAGCGGAAGCTGTCGCTGCCTGAAGCCCGCTAGGTGCTTTCTCGAACAGATACAGATTCATTTGTTGCGGACGATTGGAAGAAGGTGCGGCCTCAAGATTTGGAGTTGACAGCAAAGCCAACAAAGAAAGCAAAGAAGCAAAGAAGGAAAGGTATGAAGCATGTATAGTCATGTATGACATATGTTAAAAAAGACAAATAATACAGTATCAAATAACGTATAGTGTACATCAAATAGCAGCTTCCAAAGGCAAGAACGGATGGCAAAAGCGGTGATGCAATCCACAACTTTGAGTAGGACAACTACATACAACTGCCATGTTAGGTTCATGACACGTTCCCTGAAGACGATCCTGCAACCCGTCTGGAGATGTCTGGAGGTCTTGGATGGATGTTGTGGAGGATGTCCTCCAGAACTGGGCGTCCTGTTAGAAGATCTTCAGCTCGCCTCTCCAAGATCGACACTGGACGCCAAGTCCTTCCTTGATGCCATTTTTCCAGGTCACACTCCGAACACTCCGAACTTCACAGACTTCACAGACTTCACAGATGTCAGATGCAGTCAGATGCAGTCAGATGCAGTGCATTTATATTTGTTGGTGTTGTTGGTTTCGGAATTTCATCAGTAAGGGTACGTAATGGATCGCAATGGCTGATATGCTTTGAGACGAGAATGCCACACAGTCGCCGTCGATCCAGGTTCTGCTGGTTCAGCTGGCGCCTGTGCACTGCGCATCATCCAAATCACAGATCCTTAGAGGAAAATCTGGAAACCCCAAAAAAAGAAAGACATACAACATAAATCAACATAACATAATAGATAGAAAAAAAAACAATTAAATTAAATCTAACGCATTTTCACTGCAACTATTCCAGAGAGAGAGAGAGAGAGAGATGTAGAAGAACCAGCACCACAAACGAACAAAGGTATGCAACTGTCTAAGTCATTCCGCTGAGGATGTTTACATCCTTGACAACTTTCCGCACTTGAAAACTCTTATTCGAGCGAAGGCCGTCCGGTTCGAGGTGTTTTAAGACTGATCACAGTGCTGATCACTCTGCGGTTTTTTCCATGCTCAGAATGCTCCTTCAGCTGAGAGATTGTCATACACTTCAGACATCTCTGCTAGGAGGCAGACTTCAAGGCCCAACATGGAGGACTGTTGGATAAAGCTGGTGAAGTATGAAAGAACATAATGAACACATGAAAGAATGTCAAAGACATTTGACACACGTTTGACAAACATTTGACAAACATTTGACAATCTATATACATTTTATCCAAAAGATATTCAAATGTCTTCGAAAGATGTGAAACATTTCAAATCTTCGGCCACAGGAGGTGCTCGCTGTATTTCAATGTTGACTGGAGATACTTGGCCGCGACAAGCTTGACATAGCATGGCCGCAATTGATCGCAGTTGGCCGTATTTCTTGTCATTTCTCAGCTTGATGTGTGAAAATGCCCAAGTGCACAGAACATGTTGTGTCAAATTGTGTCAACCAGGACTTTTTGGCTCCGTATCTGCTCTCCTCAATCGATAGAGGAGCTGGCATGATTCGAATGCTGAATGAGACTCCAATACAGTACCTGACCTGGGGCAATCATGAAGCTGATCCTTGGTGCAATGCATGTGATCTCATGGACATCTTCATGAAGTCATGGATGCAATGCTTCATGAAGTCATGGATGCAATGCAAGAAGCCCCAAAGTGAGATCCCCAAAGTGGGCTTCTTGTAGATACTGAGGACTGTGTAATGATTTTTGGATACAAACCAATGTTGTGAAAAGGGATATAGAAGGTAAAGCAGAAGCAAGCAAACTACACATATGGCTACCATACAAGCACTCAGTCTTTGAAGACACTTCCATGTGTTTTTTTCTGGCTCGAAGCAATTACATCCTGTTTTCTATGTATTATGTGTATTTATATAAATGTTTTAGGTTGCCCTTATTCTTATGGTAAATATAAACTAAAAGACAATTGATATAAATAGGTATATAATTATATACATTTGTATGAAGTTTTGTCTTTTGCCAATTTGCATGTTTTACATTCCGAGGACTTGTCTCATGAAGATGTCATGTGCAGAGTGGAAGAGTATCAAGGTGTCACTTGGCACACAAAGTGTGGCAAACTCTGATACATTAAAGGTTGGTTGCTGGCCTTGTTTTCTGTGCTACATTAGAGCTTTCTTGGTTGATATTGAGTTCTAGATTCTAGACTAGAGCTCTTTCGTTCCCATGTCCAATGTCCAATCCAGGGTCATCTTTACTGCAACAACAAACAACAGGTCAATGCCAAAAGTCACAGGAGCATCTCCCATATAGGTATCGGGTGAGTTTCCCACAAACTGTTTCCTCTAAATAAGACGTAGGACCCTGACCAAGAGAGCGCTCCTCACTTTCTGCGATGTTTTGTTTCTTCTTTGAGTGGTCGTTTCAAAAAGCATCCACTTGCGCCATCCTTCGCAACAATTAAGGTATGGATCAACAGCAACATGCGCTCCCATGAGTCCTTTGACAAATGTCAATGTCAAACAGAGATGGAGATCATTGACCTGAAATCAAGTACTCAAAGCCGGAGGGTGGGACTTGTTGGTGTGCTGAGCAACGAACCAAATTTGTACAAACCTGGTGCGTTTGGCAGTGCAACCATTGAAGATCCATGGGAGACATTGGCCTACTACAAGAAGCTCTTGGAAAAGGACCATGGTTGCGATTTGGTCCTGCCACTCTGCCACTTATATGAATCTCAAGATGAGATCACTTGCAAAAATTTTGATTTCCCTGTGATCCTATCTGGACATGATCATCATATTGTGGATCGAGTGGTGGATGGCACTCGAATTCTGAAACCTGGTTCTGATGCGCACCATGCCATCCAACTCGACCTCATTTGGGATTCCGCGGATTCACGGCCTCGGATTGAAGCAACTTGCTTTCAAATCTTTCAATTTACGCCTCTTTTCTCCTTTTTTTTCATACTAATTATGTATATTGTAATCGTCCGATTCGGCCAGGATTTTCTGATTGCTGAGTGATGTTCAAGACTGTTCAAGTGAGCCGCCATGAGGTGGAACTGCTGAGAGTGGCCGACTTTGAAGCTGATGCTGTGCTGGCGACCTGATGTGATGAAAGCTTTGAAGGAGTCAACTAACATAACTACTAAGTAGTTACTACATAACTAACATTGTGAGATATTGTGAGTTTGACATATTTTGAACCATTTGGTACCTGCAGCCTGCATACCTGTATCAATCTCAGATACCCAGGCAGACACCGTGAAGGAGGTTTATTCCAATTTGGATCATTTGCGAAACACGCACATCGTCAAGGCGCGGAAGTTGGATTCCGTTGGACTCCGTTGGAGGATATGCTGTAAGATGCTGCGAAAAGGTGCCAAGTGATGAGTTGTCGGACCACCAGGTACCGCCTTCCTACCAACCTTTGAGCTCGATCAACTCAAGAGGTTCCTGTACCTCTGCGGCTCGATTCCTTTGCAGTGAGGCATGGCCAAGCCGTGCTAAGTGAAATTAAGTGAAGCAGTTTAAGGCTGTTTCAGGATGGTTAAGAATTTTTTACAGATTTACTTCAGGAGTGGAATCCTTTGGAATTGTGTACTCTTTGACTGCATTACTCTGAAGTAGCTCAACCTCTCCATGATTTGCCACAGTACTTCCCAGTATCCTGTCAGATACGGTGTGCTCTTAACCTGGACTGCGTAGAGGCCTCCTTCCGTTTGGAACTTCAGTTGTGGTCGTTTCCAGTTGGTTTCCAGTTTCAGAGGGAAGCTGACGACATCCATTTCAGATCATTTCAAAGATCCAAAATGTTTCAAAAATCAGAAAGAACAATCAGATCCAAACAGCTTTGGTTCCAATCATTTGATCACGGCCAGTGGCCAACAGTAGCCACGTCATTGTCAGGAGGCCCCGCACTGTGATTGTGTTCTGATCAACGGTGGCAACTTTCGCGGAGAGCGAGACTACAAGCACGTGACCCACTTATCCCTGGAGGACGACTTTTCCATATTGCAAGATGTTGAAGGCATTTGAGGGAATGTGCAATTGATGAAGATTCGAAGGAATTCCAGGGGCTTTATATGGCTTTATGTCTCTGAAACAAGAGAGAAACAGCAGAATTTCAAGAACCACGTGCAGAGATGTCGGCTAGGATCTCATGTCTGAAATTGATCAGTCGCGAACTTAAGCAAATAGAAGAGAAAGTCACGCGATCACAGTGGATTGAGAGTCCTCAGTCCTCATGGTACTGGACATTTTGCAGCATTTCCTTCACAGAATCGAACAATATTTGGCAATCGAACATGCCAAGAGGAAATTTGGGATATTTTGGGATACTATTTCCTAAATCCAACCGCCTTTCTTGGCATCAATTTGTTGCATCTCCTTCATGACATCAAGGGCTGTCGCCCGGCCCCCGACCCCTGGAATGTGAGTAGAATGAAATTAACATCATGTATATATATATAATATTATATAATTATATAATCAGATATATGATATGTATATGTATGAAGTCATAGAATCACATATGATATGTATACACACATTGGAAACACTGGAAACACGAATGTACACTCTTGGCGCTGAGGGTGGCCGCCTTGTAACTATATTGTCTAAACATGGCGCCGAGGGTGATTGCCTTGTACATATAATTTCATAGGTACAATATATGTATATACACATATTATATTTATATATACATTTATATACACATTTGCAGGCATATATTATATAAAGTATATAATATATATATATATATATGTACATATACATATATACATATATATATAGAGAGAGAGAGAACAACGAACTTGTGGTTGGAAATCGTCGTTTCCTTGCCTTCAATAATCCCGTCAATGCCTGGTTTTGAGTGCGTGCTTGGGTTTGGGCATGTATAACCTGTACGTCCACAAAAAAAGGAATTGCGAATTGAACACCTAATTTGTTTCTGAATTTCGATTCTGTTTCAACCAAAAAGCGTTCGATCCTACAAAACGTCCCTGTCTAGTGAATCCCAACCCTTTCCCATTCCACGAGCGCTTGCATCACAACGTTCACTCCCACGAACAGCAAGCGGGGATATATGTCCAGGGGCAAAGGTGCTGCGCGGCAGCGTGCTGCGCAAAGCTTCCCTTCGTGGCCAGCAAAGGCGATCCCTGACGCTTTAGATTTGACCAAAAAACTTAAAAACAACTATCCAAATCAAATAATTAGCAAATGGCTGGACATGTTATCCCTGCCCCCCGGCCCAGTGCCAGTCCAGACGGTGGATAGCCGGCTCCGACAGCAGCGCCGCATCACCTCACCATCCTTACCATCCTTGTATCATGCTGACATCATCCTTCTCATCCTCATCGTCCTTGTTCCTATCATTTCCTATCCTCATCCTCTTCTGCACCATCGTCATCGCCATCGCCATCGTCATCGTCATCGTCATCATCATCATCATCATCACCACCGAAAAAACATTAGGGCAGCCATGCTTTGCAAAGATGCAACAACTTGCCATTCTCTTTCCAAAAGGAGGCAGCGCTGAATGAATTCCGCTGTGTAGCAGGCCCGGAGTTTTCCCCTTATTTTTGAAACTAGAACTAATGTGAACACTTTGCGTGCCCATTGTCCAGGATTCAGAACTTGTACTTCAAATTCCCTCCAGCGGAACCTACCTTTCGTCCAGCCCTGTCAAGTTTACAGTGCAGGCTCTCACAAAAGTCCAATATTACAGCCACAATGTAATCTAGAATATGGTATTTCGGCTGGATGGTGTGGAAAAACCACATGTATGCCAGTGCGGTGTGCCCATCCTACAACATACTTTAGCGCTTTAGCAAAAATTTTGGGTTGGGGAAAAAAATATCTTTGAATTGAAATTCACCCAAGGTCGGACATCCCCCAACCATCATCCACCAATTTTTCAATCGGCAGTAAATCGCCATGCCAGTCAGCACGGACGCAGCACCAGAGCTATAAACATGAAAAAACTGTTTTCACGACAGTACCATATTTAAAACAATGTTGGGGTCTGCCAGTTGCTTGGTTTCGCACTTCTTTTCCATGCATTCTCCTTGTTTCAGGGCGGGGTCGGCGGATTTTTGCAATCTCTTGCACATAGTCTTTTGGTTTTCCGCGTTAATTGCCACATTCTTCCAAACATATGAAATTCTCATATTCTCACGCATTTTCCGCCTAGATCCCAATTTTTTAAGATCTTCGGGTTTATGCAAGGTCCGTGGAGATTGTTGTGGCCAATCTGCCCGGATGGGTCTTGAAGAATGGCCTGCGAGAAACCTGGGGCGTGGTCGGCGGGGCGTGGATGCAGCATGATGATCAGGTGGAGGCACTTGGCATCCAGTGGATACTGTGTGGTTCCGTATCAAATTCTTGAAACAGGAAAATATGCGCGCAACAGTTGCTGAAACTGATTGATAAACAAGTTGAGTAAATTTCAAATTTTTGAAACAAAGGTTGGACCTTGCCGACAGTGATTCAGGTGAACTCCCATGGAGAGATCACAGCCATCGGCGGTAGTGTACTGAAGCTCCAGCACATCTACCGGGTTGGCTCCACGAGGATTTCAAACATGGCAAAGTCGTGGAACGCCATTTCCAGAACGATTAAAGTGATGAAATTTGTTCCAAGTTGCTGTGATTAACAGTGATTAATAGTTCGTTAACTGGAAAACGTGTCCGACTGAACACATGTCATTTGCACCATTTTGCAGGAGATTTGGGATCCAGCTCATCCCAAGTGTGGCGAATTATTGGAAAGAGAAGCCTGAGCTGAAACCGAACCCTGAATCTGGAATTCCAGTGCTCTTTGTCTGAAAAGATTGAAAAGTATCACCAGCTCTTGAGTCATTTGTCCAACATAAGAAGTCAAAGTGGATCGCTGTGTGAGGCATTCGCTTCTGCTACACTTCTGGGCCGAAAAGGTTTGGATTCGAATTTGGGCCTACTTGGATCAGGACAACGATGGTCGGATCGATTCAGAGGAAATCAAGGCGCATTTTTCGCAGCTGGTCACTTAGATTTGTCAAGGTCGAACCGCCTTTAGGGTCAGTGGTCGAATCCTAAACTTGTGGACATTGACATGTGACATGATAATTATATATAATTATATTAAATATAATGCTTTTATGTTCTGATATGTACTGCAAAAATGCGATTGGCATGATGGGTGTTGACAGCAAACCAGTTCCATCATGTGGACCTCGCCAGGCACTGGACAGGTCAGGTGCTCAGAGTGCTTTGTTGTGTAACAAAATGCATCTGGACTGCGACAGCCGCCCTTGAACTTGAGGTCTGGACGTGGCGAGCTGAACCATGGTGATACTTGCTAGCATTTGCTAGCATAGCAGAACTGTTGTGTTTTGCTTCAAATGCCTGGTCTGTGCGAAAGGTGAAAACATGTGAAAACCACTTTGGGTGTGGTTGCCACACAAGCAGGACATGTCAAGAAATTAAGGACATCATGTGTGCTGTCAAGAGCGTTGCTCAAATGGAAACCTTCGAGGGCGAGTATACCCTGACTGACTTAGTCATGAAGGTCGGATTTAGATGAGATTGAAGAGATTGGTTATCTAGTTGGCAACCTTGGTGAGGAATATATCATCATTCGATATCATTCTATGTCATTCTCATCCCTTATCCAGTCATATCCAGTCTAGGTAATGTATGATTTTCCTCCTTTCTTTTGTTGCAGGTGGCTGGCCAGCGTGGTGACGGCACTCTGACTTTGAAAGAGATGAATCGCCGACGGCGCATGCGCCGCAGGCAACTGCGAATGGCCAGGACCCTGAAATCGGAAAATCGGCTGAATGAAACAAAGGCCTGTCCAAATCCTGAGACCCTTTCGATGCCTCCCGAAAGCAACTCGAAGTGCGACTCAAAATTCTTTTTTGCTTTGCACAGTGGACCTCAAGATGTGTGGCTACTGGCCTTTCAGGACCCGGGAGTGCAACTTTCCATGTGAGCTTTTGCCAGATGCTGATGTACAAGATCAGCAGCAAAATCTGTGACCAGAGATCACTGTGGCTGGTGGGTCTCACAATTTTGAGCCCAACTGGTCACAGACTGTACCAAGAGATGTAGAGATGTAAACATCAGCAACGCCACTGCTGCACAAAGTTGCAAACCGGCACCAGAACACTTGGATAGCCGAGTGGCAGGAGCTGTAAAACGTTTAAACATCGAAAGCAAAACATGGGGCATTTCTGTCCTGGCCCCCGTGGGTGTGTTGCGTGTACATGTGGACGCTACAGGATCCAGAGATCAACTGAAACCCACTGCTACTGCAGACGGATCTGTTTGCACAATGTGTGAGCTGTTCTGTGTTGGCTCAGAAAAGTAGACATCTGACAGCTCCACTTGCTGAAGAAAGCTCGCAGGAAATGATGCATGGTCCATTTGGCGGGTCACGAAATCCACCAACATTGCTTTTGGGACTTTTCGAAAACCTTGAGGCAAAGTGCCCCAAACCGAACGAACTCTGCAGGATTCACCAAGTCTTTTGAAACTGCGCCATGCAGCCGCCACAGAAAGATTACATGGGCTTTGACGATGACAGTGACGAGGACTCTTTTTAAGCGATGCAATTGGCGTGTCCGGAAAGTCAAACACAGAGCACATAAATTGCAAAATTACAGAAATAAAAAGAAGTCTTGTCAACTTCTGCTGAATCTGGAAACTAGGAAAGAACAACAGGTCTTGCGGTGTGTCACATGGGAGGAGACAGACTTGCAAGGGCGCTCTTGCTGCGGTGCGGCCTATGAAGAAACAGACCAGACGCAGACTCGCTTCTCAAACATAGGCAGATTGCATCACATTTTCTGCTCACTGAAGCATCTCTGAAATATTTCTGAAAGTACTTAGGCTGCGCTGTCACTGTTCTGAACATTTCTGAACTGTTGGACTATGTTGGACTAATTATGCTGGACTATGACGTATGGCTGCTGACATGGCACCTCACTACGTGACGTATGTCTGACATGTCACGAAGAACTTCGTAGAACTTGCAGGTTTGATTGGCGAAACGAGTCACGACGGCGCGGAGCACGTCACGGACGAGGTCTTCAACGCGGCGTCGCATCTTTTCGGGGGCCTGCTCTCAGTGCTGGGCCGAGGCCTCAGAGTTGGAACAAACGGTAGCAGCTCAGAAAGTCCTTTGGATCCGGCAGGTTGCCTTTGAGAGGTTAAGATGATTTAAGATGGTTAATTAAGTTCAAATGAGCGCAGAAGTTGCGCTGGCTTTGGCTCTCTTTACTTCATGCCTTTGATGTTTCTGCAGAAATGATTTGTGAGTTTAATTGAGTTTAATTGAGTTTATGTTCCATTGAGGTTCAACCATCCTCATTACTGGGGCAGCAGCGAAGTCCAATCCATGGGGGGTGGTATCGTCATCCTGGCATGACTTGATGACCAAAGCCTTCACGAGTCTTCAGCTTGCAGAACTGAAATGTGCCAATTGTGCCAAGGTTTTCGATCTATGGAGCTTCGCTGATGTTTTTGTTCTTTGCCAGTTTTGCGTGCCCCAGATGTACAAACAGTGAACAAAACAGTGAACAAGCGGCCTTGACAGTGCTTGACGGATTTGATTCATTGCCTGAGGCATCATGGAATCAAAGGTTCCAAGCGACTGATGGATGTACTGCGAACTCTGGACTATGTGGCAATCTATTTCCTCATTCCAGGGACAATGATGCCAGCTGGGATCCCCAGCTTTGACCGGTGAGAGATGCAGTGCGAATACTGTCCTCAAATCTGCTGAGTGGGTTGTGTCGGGGGGTATTCAAAGGAGGCCTGCCCTTTAAACCTTTTCAATCCAACCATTGTTGATATTGATAATATGGTTGTTGTGGCCGTCAGCTCAAAGAAACTTTCCTAAGAGGTTGGCCTTTCATGGCCTTCATGTCACGTCATGCCACGTCATGCCACTTCCATGCCACTTATCTGACGGGGGCGCCATACATTGTCTGCCCGGTGAAAAACTCCACCTGAGACATCGATCTGCATTTGCGCCGTCGCAGTAGGGAGTGTCATGAGTGTTTGGGTTTGATGTAGCATCTGATATCATCTGATATCATCTCATTATATCTGCTTGTGTTTGGAATTATTATTTATATTATTTGGATGTAATCTATTTGGATATAATAAATGTGGATATCTGTTTTTTAGCTGATGTTTTATCTGAGGTGTGCTTCGTGTGTCTGCACGACTCTTGGATCGGCTGGGTCTTTTTCGGCACCAGCTTCGGCCTGGCCATGGTGGGCGCCAGGATCTCAACACATCGCAGGTCACGGGAAGTCACCCTCCAGCTGTGCAATTTCTGGGAGATCTCTATTAGATCTCTATTAAACTCTATAAATATCTGGATAATATCTGGATAATTCTGGATATTGGTGTAGAATGGTATCAATAACCAGTACCGACGTATTCATAGTTGTTGCACGGTCCTGCAAAGTATCAGTGATTAATATGATTAATGACGCTTGGGTCTCGTGGTCCTCACAAGTCAAAGTTGAGTAAGTTGAGGTGTGGTTCCAAGCTGCTTGCCCCTTGGAATTTCCCATGTGGGCCAGCATGACAATGTATGCCCGGAGCCTAAACTACGGGATTCAAAGAGATCACCAGAGGTCAGAAAGATTCAGAAAGGACGTAAAGTGTAAAGATTTAAGCGCCAAAAAAAACAATTTACAAAATCCTAAGGAAATTCTAGAAATCCTATGTCATAATTGTCATAATTGTCATAATATGTCATAAAGTAAATCGAAGAAATCGAACGATGCCGTGATGGCCGTGATGGCCGCGGTGGTTTCGCCCAGGTAACGCTCGGGTGGTTCGGGCTGTTCCTTTCTATTCCCGCCTATCACTGCATTCAATTTGGAGGACACACAACCGAACACACGATGTCATGAACCAAAATGATACGTAGTATAATAGTGTATATAGATATAATATATATATAATATATATATATACACATTTATCATTTATGTATCAAAAACTATCAGATGCTCTCAGTACATATCATGACTGTCCACGCATGTCCATGTGGATGATGACGATGACTGGAGGAGCACTGCTGCTTCTCTTTGGGGGTATCGCTTACACCCTGGGTGGTCTGATCTTCACCCTACAGCGTTTGCTCCTTATGTTGGGAATACGAGACCAAGATAGACAAAGAGACACTAAGAAACCAAAGGCAAGACGTTCAAACACAATATACATAATATACCGTGTTTCTCAGGTGTTCCAGATTGTTTTTTAAACAGCACAGACCACTAGGGCCCTAATAGGTGCAGGCCTAATCTTTGACAGCTATTGTTCCAGGTATTGTTCCAGCTATTGTTCTGTCTCGAGGTCCGAATCCAATTCCTGGGAAATTTGGCTTCCATGAGATATGGCACGTACCTTGGCAGCACTTGGCAGCAACTGGCCTGTTGAACTTGGGATTTGTGTCTTAATGATTCTCAATTATTCTTCTTGTACATTTCTTGATAGGCAAACACTTTTTGAAGATCTTCGTTTTTGAAATGACTCTGGCTGTGCAGGTCTTTGTCCTGATGGGAGCTGCTTTCCACTATTGTACACTCTTTTTCTACGTCTTCCCAACAATGGAAGACGCACCCGTCCGAAGTGCCAGTTGAGTCAGTTGACCGAGAGGTGAGGGTTGACCGAGAGTCGCGTGCAGAGTCGACAAAGTCCTTCTCACGGTGCCACCAGGGCCCTCCACAAAACTGCGTCTAATGCCTCCATCGAAAATACAAGCGCCACCACTTTGTCGAATTTGTCACTGTCTGGCTGCAACAGATTTCATGCAACTAATGAAAACTAATGTCCATTAATGTCCTGTCCCTAAACATGTCAAAGGATGTTAAAGGACAGATTTTGGTGATTTTTGGGTGTTTCGCAAAGACGTTTTCCAGGGTATATGGCTGGCATATGGCATGGTAGAAAAGACAGCGATGCCGTGGCCGTTGGGCCATGCAGTGGGGGAGGCGTGCTGCACGAAGCGCCGTGACGGGCCGTGACGGTCCGGCCGTGATGTGACGGCTGGGGAATCGGCGGCGCCATGGGAAACATCCTGGAACCTCAATGTGGCCAAGGCCCGAGATATCCCGAGATGGCCCGAGATTCGTCTCACATTGTTCGACCCGTTGTTCAACACATTGTGGGAATATGGGCTGGATACAGGAAATGTATGTGAGTGGATATTGTCAGTAACTGGAATGAAAAGGGGAGTCTCGTGCAGAACAAAGAAGAACATCCATCAACTGTTCAAGAATCAACTGAGTCAACATCTTTTTTTGACATTTTTTTCACGTGTTGAAATGAAGCAAAGCAAAGATGTTTTTCAAGGCATGGTGACGAGTTTTTCAATTGTTTTCATGTTCGCGAGTCGCCACGAGTGGCCACAAGTCGCTTGCTCTCAGGCCGCCTGCTGGGTGACGGAGAGGCATCCCTCGGCTCCAGGCATGGGAAAAGTTTCAACACAATCTTCAAAGCAATCTTCAAAAGAGTTCAAAACAGTTCTTAAAACATCACATATCATTAAATCATGTTCAATCTAGACACTTTGTTTCGGAAATTCTTTAGTTCGTGATAGTTCATGCATCTCTCCCGTGCTTTATTTCACTTTTCTGATTCCAGCAGGTACCAAACTGATATGTTTCCGCGGAAGCTGGGAGAAGGGCAGTTCTCCAAAGCTTATGTTTGCTGGAACAAGAACAAGTCATCCCAGTGCTACGCATTGAAGGCAGGGGACTCAGGAGTCGAAACAGAAACAGAAACTTGTCCAGTGTGAAACAGTGCGTTTGAGCCATTTTGAGCCGCCATAAACTACACACCAGATATCTGAAGATTGAACTGTCATGAACTGTCGGAATGTTTGAACTGATGGTGTTGATTGACAAGTCAACTAGCAGCAGCATGTTCATGTTAGCAATGTGCCAAGGTCTTTGTTGCAGCAAGTGAAGGCGCAGATCATGCAACAAATGTCATTTGGCAGCACAAGATACATCCTATTGAATACGCACATCCCTTGATATAGAGTATCCTTTAACATCCTGTGGCATTTCTGACTTGGCATCCAAGGAAATTCGGGTTCTGCATGCCTTGGGTGCAATCCTCAGCATCCCAGATGAGTTTCCATGAGACTTGATGGAATCATGTGGAATCATGTGGAATCATGTGGAATCATAGAAACATCATCCAGAAATATCATGAAATATCTAGAATCTGATTTGATGCTTTTCATTGAGGCCAACATCCCAGAATTATTCGACTCATAGACGTCGACAACCAGGCGCTGGGTTCCTATGGGTTCCTGTTGTGGATGTGTTATGACGTGTTAGTCCTGGGATGTCCTGGGATAGAAGCACTCTGTCAGGACCCCCGAAACATGCGGCTAGTGCTAGAGCTTTGTGAAGGCCGAGCCCTCAAGTGGCAAAGGGCAACATGTGCTTTCGACATCCACCTTAATTAACAGCAATCTTGAGATTTCAATAGATTTCAGACATTTCCAGATTTTCCAGACCCAATGCAGAACTTGCAATGAGCTTTCCCTTTTTATCGCCAGATTGCCATGTTTTTTTCTACCCAGGAGGCCAACTTTTTGATCGCCTGGTGTCTCTTGGCCGATACAAGGCGCCGCACTGCCACGATGCACCATGCACCGATATGCACCGCCGACAGTGCCTGAAACTGTGATCCGGGATGGGCGCGAGGAAGCGAAAGCTGCGTGTGTTGCGCAAGAGATTTTGGAGGTCACTGGTAGATCACTTGATGGTAGGTTGATGGATGTTGATGGATGTTGATGGTAGTTGGGCATCGTTAGTGCTTCTTTTATCTTCTTTTGCTTCTTTGATGTTCTTGGAGATTGTGTTTTAACGTTTTTTCAACAGTGGCTTTCATCAACCGGCTTCCTGCCAGGCAGTGGCCTACATGCACGGCAAGGGAATCATGCATCGAGCCAACAGCTGAGAATGTAAGCAGTCTGCAAAGTGTGATAAAGCTGGGTCAATTCTCGAAGATCAATCCAACCGATTCATATCCGATTCATGTTTTTGCAGACACTTAGACTCAAAACCAAATCAGCCGATAATCAGCCTGCAAAAATTGCATTGACATCCGTTTCCATGGCCATTTTGATGCCATTGCCGGCATTGCTTCTCTTCTTGCCGGGCCTTGATGCTCTACGGGGGCACCAGGATTTGGCGGCAGAACAGAACAGCAGCCTTTGGCCGTGGGGGGGAAACTGTCGCACTTCCAAGTGCAGTGGCAGACCCGTCTATTTAGAGTCGGAATTCGTTTCAGTGAAAAATTGCCAGGTGAAAAAAAATGAGATTTTGATTTTGGGAGACAATGTTTTGTATACGAAGGAAAATATGTTTTGTGAGGAGACTTGTGATGTGGAGCTGAAGTATCCCGCACAAAAGGTGACAGACGTTCTTGTGAGGAGGAGGAGCGGGCGAGGTGATCAGATGTGTTACCTGCCACGAGGGGGCAAAAAAGATCTTTGTCAGAACAAGTATTGTTGTGCTAAGTGCAGTGGCCAAAAGGTTATGGTCCCTGGAGACTTGGGAAAAGATGGAAAAGTTACCCTGACAAGATGCCGGGTGAATTCTGCTTTCAAGGTGATGGGAAGGAAGGGTATGATGTGTGACGAGATTTGTGATGTGAAGCTGAATCCAGCACAAAGCGTCCCTGTTCGTCTACAGAGGGAGAGCGGTTTCCAGCGTTGTCAGCTGCGACATGACAAAAACAAAGGTCTTTCTCAAAAGCAGTCGACGGCGTTCAACTCCCCAGTGGAAGAGATTGGCATGTGGTTCATTGAACAAATTGAAACTAGAGCTCTGAAACTGGTGGTGGATCGCAAGGAGAAGCACCTGCCATTGCTGAAAGGAGACACAGTGGAGGCTTTCCTGGAAAAAATGCAAGAGACCATGGATCAAGAGATGAACAAACATGGCTATAGCCGAGAGATCACAGCAGAACATGTGGTGATTATTGGAGATCTCTATGGCCAGCTCTTCACCCTCATTGCTTTTCTGAACGAAATCAAGGAGCACTACGCGGACAAAGGTTTCAAAACCCTTGATGAATCATCCTTTCTCTTCTGTGATCCGAGCATCCAGTACGTCTTCCTCGGCAACTATGTGCAATGGGGTGAAAGTAGCGTCGAAGTGCTGTTGCTTCTGCTGGCCTACAAGGCCAGGCTTGCCAAGTCATGTGATTCTGGATACAAAGATAGACCGTATAAGTAACCAGTTGGAGGGGCAACAGCTTAGCAGAGTCTGACTACGTGATGCAGATCTTCGAGATCTGTCTGTTTCTAGTTTCTAGAGTTCTGATAGTTCTGTTTTTGACTCGAACATTCCAAAATCCCTGTTCTAGTTTCCTCAATTGACCCTATGATCTTGAAATCTGAGACTATCAGTTTGCAAATTTCCTTTTCTATGTTTCCGAAACTCAGTTGCTGAACGAAGAAATTGAAGTGTTCGTTCAAACCTGACCATTTGCAGTTTCCCAGCTTGATTGACTATTCGCTGAATTCTTTCACATTCAGCCTGTTCCAGCCTGTTCCCCTTTCAGGCACGATGCCCTCAAAGCCTGATCCTTTTGCAAGGCAGCGAGGAAGGTCAGACTTGGTGGGGTGATGTTTTTTTGGATGAGCTGGAGTACAAAGGACACCGTAAACAAGCCGGCGACTTGAAAAGACTGGTGCGAAGTTTGCCCTATGTTGCCGTAGCACCCAAGAAGTTCATGTGCATGCATGGCGGCATCACTCCACAGTTCGCAATGAAGTGCCGGGACAAAGCTGGTCGCTTCGATAAATGTCTTGACAGAGACATTGGCAAGGAGACCATTTGGCCTGATCCATTCAATGGCATGGGCTGGAAAAAGGGAATCGCAAGAGCCAGCGGTGCCACCAAGCCTGTTGTCTACAATTTTGGGATGGACATTGCAATGGACTTCCTGAAATCCAATCGCCTGAGTAAAATCTTCCGCAGCCATGAACATTGGCACTCAGGCTTCTATGAACTCGAGAGGGACAAGTACTCTGTGATCACACTCACCTCTGCTCCAGACCCAAAGATTTCCTATTGCCCAAGCAACAGCCCTCCATGGATGGTAAATGTCACACAATTTGCGCTGCCAAAACCAAATGAAGGTGCCATTGCATTCATCGACAGCACTGACTCGAAGGTCACTTGGACACCCGTGACCATGTCACTACTGACCGCCAAAATCAAAGCTGAACAGCTTGTCCCGGGAGCCAGATGCGACCATTCCTAGGATGGCCCCCGAAAATTTGGGTCATAAGGCCCCGCGCGTGATTAGGCTCGGTTGAGAGATCGGCAGCGTTCGAACGATGCAAAATGATGCAAATTGATGCAAAATGATGCAAATAAAGCCGTGTAGGTCATTGATTGCTGATGTTCTTGGTACTGATGTTCGTGTAGATTGGCTCCCAAGACGGAAATACTTGGAACATCTTGGAACTCAAGCTCTGTGGTTGATGTACACTGAGAAGATCTTATATTCGGAGTGGAAGTTTGAATTTGGCTGGCTTCACGCACGCCAGTGTCCAAATCAGAGATCTACAAGCGTGGCCAAGGACCTCAAACCAGAGAACATTCTCATGGTCTCACCGGATAGCGACATCAACATCAAGGACTGACACCCGATCCAAGTATATCGGGAAGTATATGCTGAGTACTATGACTTAAAAGATCTTCAAAGTATGCAGGAGCTGGACTTCAAACCATCTCCACAATAATCCTTGCCGATGCCGATGTCTCAGCCAGGTGTGCGACTTTGGCATTGCCAAAATGGTCGACCCGTTGGACAAGATTGTGATCCCTGACCAGGCAACATGCTCTTCACGTCTGTCTCCCTGCCTATGTACATATTGGCAAATTGGCATGATGTCTTTGCAGTACTCGCACATGTGCATAGCTGCATATACCTGTACATGTCATTACATGTCTACAGTCCACACTGTGTAAACATGCACATACATATTCCCCAGAGATGGGGGAGAGAGAGAGAGAGAGAGACACAAAATCGAGCATGTACATCAAATTATACTTGCACGTCCGCCGCAGTGACTGGAGTCTTTGAAACTTAGAGGAACTTGTGGAGCAGTCAGAAGTAGCTAATGTTTATCAATTCTTGAAAGGTGTTTAGGATGTGTGTCGACCTTACGACTTTCTGAGAGAAAAGACCTGCCAGGTGATCCAAAGATGGAGGAAGCCGCCTCCCCGTGCCACATCCTTCAAGGGATCGGACTTCTACTTGGCTCCAGAGATGATACGACAAGAAGAGTGAGCCCTGAGAAACGATTTCTCGGGCAAACGTGTCAGAACTGCCTCATGCGGCCAGGTATGGCCCTGAAATTGATATTTGGGCCTTGGGTGTGACCACCTACTCATTGCATCGGCCTCAATGCAAACGGAACGAAACTGGGGATCTAAAAGGCATTAAAAGGCATTAGGCATAGGCATAGGAACGCCAAAACCATAGAAAACTGAGCAATGAGATTGCAGGAGGATCTGATAGGATTGGAGTGGATTCAGTGGATCCCAAGCTTCAGAAATCTTCATCCGATCCATCCCTTGGGGCATCCCGGGCAGCCGGATGCAGCCGGTATCTTGTGTATCTCGTGTTGTGTCGTATAACGTCAAAGTCGTGTCGTGTCGTGTCGTCGTGTCAAGGATCTGCGGTTCATTGCCGTTTGTCGGCGATGATGGTGTTGAAGACCTTCGAGGCACAGATGCAGAAGTAGCAGAAGATGCAGAAGTCGAAGTGTGCAGAGTCTTCGGGACCTTGGGGCCTAGGGATTTCCAAGTTTTTCTTCATCTTTGTTCTTTCCATTTCTTTCCTCTTTGCCTTTCGAATTTCATCTTTTCTAAGTTTATCTAATTTGTTTCCATTTCTTTCCATTTCTTTACATTTGCTGTAATTGGACTGTTGCCCAACTATCCGAGACTTTTGCTGCTTACAGCTTGCAGGGCTTGCAAGGCTTGCAGCTCCTGTTTTTCTTTCAGTTGGTGGCGCCAGGGACCTACCGCAAAATCGTGAATCGAGAAATTCACTTTGAGGGAGAGGCCCTGTTCGGAAAACTTTGGATACGTTTGGACATGTTTACACACTATATTGGATACTGCCTTCAGATATCGTACCTTCTAGATCCAATTGGAACTTGACTACCTAAACGATATTGGAACATCGAGGGAACTGGGCCGGTTTCATCATGTCGCACCATATCTCCTCAATTTTCTTTATAATTCATCGTTTTCTCACAGATTTGGTGAGATTCCGTGAGATTCCGTGAAGCCCAGTATCTGGCAGCAGAACCAGCGGTTCGGAGGCTTGGGATGAAGCCTCCCAGATGGCCCCAGCCTTGGCAGTCCGCAGTTGCCCTGCATTGCCCTGCATTGCCCACGTTGGCCCCGCACATTCCAGCACCTTCCAGCACCTTCCAGCACCTTGCAAGACAAAGATATTCAGAGACAATGAATGATATGATGATGATATGACTACACAGAGATTGGACAGAAATTTTGCAGATATGATGATAGAACTGCACTGTACCGCAGATATTCCCAACATTTCCCAACTACATCATGATATGACCTGCAGAGCATGGTAAAGCATGGCGCCAGGTTAGAGATTTCATTTTGCAGATGCTCTGCATAGATCCATCTCAGCGACTCACCGCAAGAAAGGTCAGCACCTCATGTCGTTCAGAAAGAGTTCCTCTGGAGATTCAAAGGATTCAACACGATCAACACGATCAACACGATCAACACATGAAGCTGTGGTGGATGTGAGCCGTCAAAAGGATCACAAAAACTTTGACGTTTCCTCAAGTAAAGGAACCCGCAAGCCATCACAAGCCCCATAGTCAACACAGGGAAATGAAAACATGAAATGAAATGAATGGAAAGACAGGGGAACGGAAACGTCGACATGTCCAACGGCATGTAACGTTTGTATCTTTGTCGAATTTTGTCGATGGTCCAAGGCTTTGGAGCATAATTGGGTGAAGGCTGCAGACTTCTCTGAAAGTGACGATGACGTCGATGACGCCGATGACGTCGACGATGATCGGTCAGATCGCTCAGATCGTTCCGATTCTTCCCTCGTTATTGATGAATTAGACGATGAAGGAGGCCCACCACCCGGCTGCATGTCGAAAAATGTCGAAAAGCTGGGACATGCTGAGACGTTACATGCCGCGCTGGAGCCTGTTTCGATGTGGCTGATGTGAGTTTTTGCATGTGCTAGTTGGTCTGGAAGTGGTAACAGATTCTGATGGTCCTGCATCTGAAATCTTTATCTGCGTTTCATCTTGTGATCCTTCTCTGGATATTTTTATCATGTGCGCTGAAGAGATGCAGTACTCAGTGGTCGTTGTAATTGCTGATGAGACCATTTTTTATGATGTCTTAGCATGAGTATTGAAACTGTAATTGTTGCATGCCGCTCATTTGAATGCAAATGGCCTTGCTCTGCGAGTGGATCTCTTTCCAATGAAGCCTTTGCTTGTTCAGAGATCTTGGAAGATGTCAAGGCTATGACGGCTATGATATACTATGATCATGTTTGATGCAGCTCGGAGATGCTCAGAGCACTTCTTGAAAATGACTGTAGCCTAGAAGGATGAGAACTCGAGCAGAATAACGGTAGTTAAACATAACCCAAGCAGCCTCCAGCATCTAGAGATGTGACCTCCACTGAGACTGGCAGAGAGTTTTTCTTGGAATCAATGAAGTTGACGAGAAGAGAAAGGACAACCGATGTGTGTATTACGTAGAATAAATGTCTGAACATGTGGTATGAATTGGTATGATTTTGTTTGGGCTGTTTTTGTTTGGCTTGGCCGCTATGGGAAGTTGAGCATGTCGCAGCGCAAAGCAGTTTACGCTGCTCGCTTTCTCAGGCTTTTGCTGCAAGCAGTTTAGTTGTGCCGTTTAGTATTCAACATCTTCAAAGCTGGAAGTCTCCATGAGACAAGAATCAAAGCAATAGGACTTACACTGCCAAATTCGCCTGTCCCAAAAGTCCTTAAGCAGTTTTGGAGCAATTTTTATTCAAGTCAATGAAAAAAAACAATGAGGTTTCGTACAATTCGGCAGCTCCTTACGGCTTGTGGAGGCCGCCCAGTTGGACCAAGCGGCTCTTGCTGCGAGAGAAGCCTCGGGACCTCACAGGTTCTGCAGTGCATCGACTGTTTTTCTTCAGTTTGTCCTTCGCTCCATGGCATGACATGTAAGGTTTGTTACATGGTTTGCATGTTTGCATATGTTTGCATGTTATGTTTGCATGTGTTTGCATATGCTTGCGTATGTTTCAATGACGTGGGTTGTGTTTCTACACAGTTTGTCCATGAGTTGTTCTGAGTTTATGCAATCTGCATGGTAAAATCTCACCAAGGACATCTAAAATTTCTAGAGACAACTGTCTTCCCGGAGGCCCCTTTGAAAATCCAGTGCGACGCTGGGTGAGACTGCGAGAGAAGGCGGCTTTTAGTGTGAATGGCTTAAAACATTTTAAAAACCATGTCACGTCTTTTTTCAGTTTCAAAGAACATGTGGCACATGAGTTTGAGCCGTTTGAGTCCAAACCCAAAGCCCCTTTGGGCCAAATCCTTCACCTAGCGCCACCGATGGCTGTTTGTCATTTTCATGTGATTTTCATGTGGTGCCCTGGTGAAAGTATCTGTCAAACTCACGCGTTGGGACGCGTTGGGACGCACGTTGCCACGTTGCCACGTCGCTAGGCGCGGCAGTTCGCAGAGCTGCCACCGCCGCGGAAGGTGCCGGTGCCGAAGCCCGCCAGGCGACCCTTCCTGCAGGCGCCGTTGGAAATTCCATGATGACAGATGACAGATGCACATGAAGATGGTAAGAAGGTGTAAAAAGATGGTAAGACATCACGAAACATGAATGTAAGACAGAACTGACTAAGATGATCGATATCAATATATAATATATAGATGTTGTTTTTAAACGATACATATATGAAAAACACGTTTAACAATCTATTCATAGATGTAGAGGAGATTCGAAGATCTCAAACAGGATTATCTTACATGAATTTCCAGTTGCTGATTACTCTATATGCTCGTTGGATTACCAAGTTAATATTGTTTTCCCAATGATTGGGATACATACAGGTTGGACTGCTAACCTTCAACTACTAGAAGCAGACACCTGGCTCATATGAATTGGTTTTGGATGTGATGATAAATCAAATTTACCAAAAATGGCATCACAGTAGCACCATCTCTTCATCAACTGGGAAACCCTAAATGTCTTGGCAAACAATCGTAGAACTTGGGCCAGCTCTTTTAAAATTCAGATGTTCGAAACAAAAAACTGTGTTGTGAGTAGCCGCGGTGATTTCCGGTGCATCGAGTTATTGTCTCACAATTTCAGTTTGTCACTGGGTTCCTCCCCATGTCACGAAAGGTAGCTCCAGAGGGGCTACCTTGAGTTTTACTTTACGAAGTAAAGGGGAGGGCGGCCAGCCCCGTTACCTGATTCTTCAGGAGATTGCTAGTCATTTTAGTACCCCCCCGCAGGGGTAACCACCCAACACCACACAACAGCAACAGCAACAACAACAACACGACAAGCAAACACGCACAACAACAACGCACAACGCACAACGACGACAACAAACACACAACAACACAACAACACACAACGCACACACACACAACGCACACACGCACACACAACAACACACACACAACACACATACAACACACACAACACACGCAACACACACACACACACAACACACACAACACACACAACACACACAACACACACACACACAACACACACGCACACACAACACACACACAACACACACACAACACACACACAACACACAACACACACAACAACACACAACAACACACCACAACGCACAACAACACACCACAACACACAACAACACACAACAACCACAACAACCACAACAACCACAACAACCACAACAACCACAACAACACAACAACAACACACAACAATAACAACAACAACAACACACAACAACACACAACAACACACAACACACATACAACACACACACAACACACACAACACACACAACACACGCAACACACGCAACACACACACACAACACTCACAACACACACAACACACACAACACACACGCACACACAACACACACAACACACAACACACACAACACACAACAACACACCACAACACACAACAACACACAACAACACACGCAACACACAACAACACAACAACACAACAACAACACACAACAACACACAACAACACACAACAACACACAACAACACACACACAACAACAACACACAACAACACACCACAACACACACACACACACAACACACACAAGAACACACAAGAACACACAACAACACCACAACACACCACAACACACCACAACACACAACAACACACAACAACACACAACAACACACAACAACACACAACAACACACAACCACACAACAACACACAACAACACACAACAACACACAACAACACACAACAACACACAACAACACACAACAACACACAACAACACACAACAACACACAACAACACACAACAACACACAACAACAACAACAACAACAAACAACAACAACAACAACACCATCAGCAGCAGCAGCAACAACAACAGCAACAACAACAACAACAACGACAACAACAGGAACACAAACAATACCAACACCAACAACACGACCAACAACACCAACACCACCAACAAACCCAACCACACCAACAACACTAACAACACTAACAACACCAGAAACACTACCACCACCAACAACACCAACAACACCAATACCAACAACACCAACAACACCAACACCATCAGCAGCACCAACACCACCAACACCACAACCACCACCAACCCTAACCACATCGCCGAAGCCTTTCAGTGGCTTTTACCAGACTCCCCTTCATATTTTTGGAAAGAAAATGGCCGCGTCGCTTTTACCAGAATCCACTTTATGTTTTTTTCCCTGCCCTTTCCCCTTCATTTTTTCTTCGGTTCCTTTCTTGCTTACCTACCTTTCGTGTTCCCCCTCTCAAGTTCCTTTGAGGCTGTGGACGGTGTTCCACGAGTGAGTCCTCAGGTGGGTTGTATGCTACCAAAACAATAGCAGCTGTCAGCAGCTGCTTGTCGCAATCTTTGATGTTTTCGGAGAGGCGCTTCAGAGGCGGCTGGATTTTCTGCTGTCGGAGAATGCTGCCGCTTGAAGTAAACTGGACGATCTCGGGATATCTGGGGTACTTCATTAGGGGAGCTCTACCAGTTGGAAGATTCATCTCGAATGAATTAAAGTAAGATTGCAAGACGACTTGTTGTGTCCTCTGAAAAAGATCCTACCTTTGGACTCCCTATGCAGCTAGAATAGATGCATGGAGTGCATGGAAGGTCTCTTTTAGGTGACTCCAGAATACTCTAGAGATCATGTTTGATTCAACCAGAAAATTAAGTTATGTAAGCTATGTGCACATGTAGGTTTGGCAGGACTGGATGTGACTGACCTCCAAGGTCAAACAGCAGATGGCAGCTCCCCTTCTACCAGGGCCCCAAATGAAGCCGTACTTCACGGAATTTCAATGTTGGAGCAGGTTCCACACAGTGCGCTGCAAATGCTTTTGGACACTTGCCTTTTGGATCCTTTTGGCCTATCGTGACTTAATTATACCTTCTTGAGTTCAACTTTCGACACCTGTCTTGGCTTCTGCCATGTTATGTATTATTTGTATTGTCCGCCATGCTGCTTGCTGCTTGTTGCATGCATGACCTTTGACATGTAGCCAGCTGATTTCCCGCCGACGAGTCTGCAGGTAGATTTTGATTCAAGTCTCCAAAGCGTCTGGTAGAAGCCTGCAGGCAACTTCGGGAGATTCGCCGCATCTATCGCGCTCAATATCTGCAGAAGCTCGCAGAGGTCAGAAACTTATGAAGAACCTGCAAAGTTTGAGCAGAAGAGCCCGTCAGAGCCCCCCTGGTCCATTGGATTTAGAATAAATTGTGCAGAGGATCACTGAAAACCAGAGATTGTTGAAGATCCACCACTCTGGACACGCGCAAATCTTTTCCTGCTCATTCATTATTTTTAGTGTTTCATTTCATTTTTTCATTTTCTTTATAAAGAAACATCTTGGACAAGACAGCTGCAGGCTCAAAGCATGTTTGGATTGGCATCAGCCAATCCATTGATCTCCTCTCAAGGAGGCTCGGTTCAGGGCAATGAGCCCTTGATTGAGCCAACGCAGGAGATGGAACAAAGAATCGATATAAGTCCACACTTCTCTGTGGCTCCAGCTGCAGCTGGAGCGGGCCCTGACGCTTCTGCGGGTGGTCCTGTAAGGCCTGGAGATAAAGCTCCATGGAGCCCAAGCCCTTTACATCCTGGCTGCTCACTCAGGTGGAAGGAAATCTGAAGGCAGAAGCAGACAATAGACAGGCAGAGCATAGAGAGCTGCAGATGGCGCTGATGGGGATGCCACCAGTGCCTGCTGAGACCAGCGCAGGCAGGATGCTGGAGATTGACGGGACAGATGTCAGCCGGAGCGGCACGAGAAGCTACAGAGATAGCTCAGGTGCAGAGCTGGTGCAGGCCTGGCGTGCTGTAGCCGAGGCTGAAAGAAGGCGCGCCGATTTCGCCGAAGACATGGCACATGCTGCAGCCCAGGCCGAAAAAAGAGGCTTGCGGATTTTGCGGAACACATGGCACGTGCAAGTGCATGGAGCACAGCCATGCAAACGATGATTCCACCACAGGGCACAGCTCTTGCAGCCTTGCAAGACGTCAAGACGTAGGTGCAGGCCTTGCAGCCTTGCAAGATGAGGCGCCAAGTTTGTACGACCTTGAGACAAAGCCCGGGAATCCAGATGCAGACACAGCGAGATACAGCCAACAGCCAGGCTGTATCTGGCAAGGCGCCACTCCGACGCTTCCAGACGTGGAAGGCGAAGTCATTTGGCACAGTCCTTCTTCGCAACCTCAGGACTGGCAGGAGGACGCCTCTTGGAAAGAGGAAAAAGCAAGTTTTTGATAGGTTTTGAGAATTTTCGAGGGATGCCTCAGGTAAAAAGCGGAAGTCTGCAGCTGAAGCCCCGGCCGGGCGCTTGTGCAATGTACAACAGCCCCTCTCTATAGACATCAATTCTATGGTTTGCGTGGAGTTGGAGACTTGCATCCAGCCTCAAGGTACTTCAAGGAAGAGGATTCAGAGGCCCTGCGAAGCTTCGACAGGCAATGTACTGAGGCCTTTGCGGAGTGTCACGATGCCTTGAATCGAAACGTGAGATTGCCACCAAAAACATGGGAGCAGGTTTGGGAGAAAGCTGAAAGTTTCTGGTACTCAAATCTATTTGAATGTGAACGACCTGTGACGCAGCCTTTCGCATCAGAAAGCAACCTCGTTGAAAGAGTGTCTTGAAGCATATCTTTATTGTGTCCCAGATGTCTCTGTTTTCCATTGGGTATTCCCTGTTTCCACTCTGCTTCCAGCTCTTCTGCGCATCTGAGGTTTGGCTTCGTGATTCATATTACGTTTTCACCATGCTTGTTAAAACATAATTAAACATACTGTTAGAATATAAGGGGATAGATATGTCTGCATCTTGAAGCTGGGCGTGACCAACTATCCATTTCCTGAATCTCCAGGTGACTGGCGAATCAGGTTATACGCCAAGCATGCTACATGTCGAGATTTCCATTTCAAGACCATGGTAGGCCTCTGGATATTTGGTGATCCGAAAAGGGCTGAGATGGTGGAGCTTGCAACACACCATGCCCTGAGAAATCGTCGAGCACCAGTACCATCCAAGAGCAGAGAAGTCTACTGCTTGAAAGACCTGGAGCACGTGCAGCAGACTCTCAAACAAAAAATGAAGCTTTCCAACCAACAGTTTCTTCAATTGCAGTCTGAAGACTTGAAAAACACGAGAAATAATAAGAGAGGTCCACAGATGCCCGAGGATTCACCGGGCTACTGAGCTTGCAGCTTTTGCAGCTCCTGCTGCAGCAGCACTGCTGCAAGACTCGAAGATGTGTTTGACATGATGTTTCACAAAATACATGCTCTGCGAGCTTGAAATCATGTGTGAACTCTTGTGAGCGCCGTGGTGCCCTCTTCAAGCAACTGCGGTTCCTTGGAATTGAGACTTGGAACTTGTGCTGCACGCAAGAAATCGCTGAGATTGGTGCCGCAGCCACAGCAAGTATTCAGAGTCCTTGCCTGACGTCTCTTCTCTTTGCCTATTTCAGGTCACTGAGATCGAGCGGGCCAAAGAGGCTGGGATCTGATGGGATCTCCGATTGATCTCTCGTGACGCTGGTTTATGTCTTGCGCTGCTCACGTGTTTGAACTTGTGTCGGTCGCTGCTCTGCGCAGGCAAAGTTGTACAGAGAGGAAAGAGAGAGGAGACAAGAAAGGAAACAGGCACCGGTACCTACGGCATCTACAGCTGTGCAGTTTACTGTGCAAACAGGGCCCAGGCAGAACCAATCGCCACAATTCTCACTGATCCCCACCGGTCCCCACCGGTCCCCACCGGTCCCCACCGGTCCCCACCGGTCCCCACCGGTCCCCACCGGTCCCCACCAATCCCCAACTCGACTAGGCGCATTTGCAGAGGATTGGCGAGGCTCGAGGGCGAAACCTGTGGGTTCTGCTCAACCCGCAGTAAAACTTGAGAACCCGAGCTAGACAATCATAGCAAGGATTTTGTTATGTTTTGCGCGAATGCATCAAACACTTGTTTTCGATGTTTTCTTGAGGTATTGACTCACGTTGGCTCTGTTAGACCGAGTTAGTTGCAGGATATGAAACGCCGTGCCATCCTCCGCGACCGGAAACGCATCGAAGGTAAGGTGAACGAGGCTCGAGCGGTGGCTGACTCCGCAAGAGTCTTGTGTGAGATTTGTTTAATCTTTGGGTCCTGCATTGTCCCGCTGAATTGTTTGATTCATCATGGCTTGGGGTGCAGTTGATCTGCATTTGCGGCTGGAGCTCAAGATAATCAACCATGACAAGCGAAACCTCTGAAGTCAGCACGAGAGAATCACTGTAGAAAGCAGGTTCTGAAGCAACAAGACAAACATCAGCGCAGTACCAGTACCCACTTCTTCTACTGACCTGACCACGAAGACACTTGGCAACACTCCAGCAATCTGAACAAGGAGGTTTGAGCTCTTTGAGCAGTCTCTTTGGCGCAGCCAAGCGGCGAAGCGTTGAATCGGAAGCCATGGTGTATGGCTTGATGATCCACTCCGAGGGGACCTTAGCTTTTGTGCTTCGATGAGCTGCAACGGTTCTGCACAACTGTTACAACTGGTCAATTGTTTTCGGTTATTTTCGATTGTTTTGTTCATCTTTTGGCTCTCACGTTGTGGAGGTGGATTCCAGTCAGACTCTACACTTCTCAATTTTCTACACGCCTGAGGCTGGTTGTCTCTTTGGCTCGGTAATTTGAGACTACTGAAGGGAAATGCAGCAGACTTGTATAAGATAACTTACGAGAATGTAAGAGGGACAAGAAGAGAGAATCGCAAACGCGAAAAATAACCATAATATTCCCTAACAGCGTAAGCTAAAGGGGTCTTCAGCCCAGAATAGCTCCGGTGTGCACTGGTGCAGGCGCCGGGTCAGGTTCAACGAGGTTCCGGAGAAGGTTCCAAAGGTTCCGGAGAAGGTCTGGGAGGCTTTGGTGCAGGGCCAGGTCAGGTTCAACAGGGTTCTGGAGAAGGTTCCGGGTCAGGTTCAGCGAGGTTCCGGAGAAGGTTTGGGAGGCTTTGGTGCAGAGCCAGGTCAAGTTAGGGTTCCGGAGAAGGTCCCGGAAAAGGTTCGAGGAAGCCTTGGTGCAAAGCCAAGTCAGGTTCCGGAGAATGTGAGGCTTTGGTGCAGAGCCAGGTCAGGTTAGGGTTCCGGAGAAGGTCTGGGAGGCTTTGGCGCAGAGCCAGGGGTAGGTTCAACAGGGTTCCGGAGAAGGTTCCGGAGAAGGTCTGGGAGGCTTTGGTGCAAAGCCAGGTCAGGTTCAACAGGGTTCCGAAGAAGGTTCCGGAGAAGCAACCACTAGATGTCTCCGAGTGCCACGCCTGCCACAAAAACAGCCGCTGCGACCACGGCGACGACGGGACCCAAGCGCGCCACCAGAGCCAGCCCAGTGCCATAAGTGCCTGGCCTGCCACACAAGTGAAGGTCGACGTCGCCAAGCTGCCACACAAAGTGAAGGTCTTAGCAAACCTGAAGATCTGATGCTCCAAAATGCAACCCCTCTCAGGAAATCAGCGCCCTGACCTCCTAACATCTCCGATGAACATGTCTCTTGTGCTGCAGCCGCCCGAAATGCATCTTCACAGATCCTCTAAATGCCCCATGCCTGCCAACGTTTTTGAAACTGCTACACCACCCCTCATGTTTTGCTCACTTTTGACAAGGTGCACAATCCTTTGCGCTTGCCACGCCAAACGACGCATCAACGTCCAAAAGTGGCGCGAACATGTGGTGCTTTGAGCATTTTCACTTCCAAATGTGCTTCGCGCAACAACAGCGTGCACTTTTTGAACATCATTGAACATCTCATCTTCCACGAGTGCTCCGATGTTGGTGTGTTTTGCACATTTTGACTTCGAAATGTGCTTCGCGCCACGACGGCGTGCACTTTTTCGACATCTCAACTTCCAACAGTGTTCTGTATCTGGTGCGCTTTGTACATTTTGACTTCGAAATGTGCTTCGCGCCACAATGGTGTACACTTTTTCGGCATCTAAACTCCCAAAAGTGTTCCGAACCTAGTGTCTTTTGTACATTTTGACATTGAAATTTGAACGGGTTCCGTAGAAGGTTCCGGAGAAGGTCTGGGAGGCTTTAGTGCAGAGCCAGGTCAGGGCTCCAGAGAAGGTTCCGGAGAAGGTTCCGGGAGGCTTTGGTGCAGAGCCATGGAGCATGCTGATGTGTTTCCAGCGCTTGGCCTCGCAGCACGCTTCAGAAAGATTTGTACAAATAAAACGTTGCGGCTGTTGGGGATACCACCGTAGTTTTTTTTTAGTAGTGGGCGACAGTGTCAACAGGAGTGTAAGGAGGAAGGAATACATGTTGGTCGAATACATTTGGTTGAAGGAGATGCTTCAGAAGGGCAAGCAGAAAACACCAATTTGGAATTCTGGTTACGGCAGGGCAACAATTCCTACAAGAAGACTCGCCAGCAGACCATCATGCGCCGAATCTTGGAGGTGCTGCCGGTGTCAAGACATGGTCAAAGAACACCAAAATGAGCACGGAAGAAACTCCAAGAACCGCGAACAAATTTGCAGACATTGAGACAACATTGAAACAACATTGTGACAAAGTTAGACTCGTTCCAGAATTTTCAGAGGAGCATCTCTTCCAAATGCACTCCGGCGATCAACACACCACTGTGAAGTCGAAGGCCTGATCACCAGACAGAATAGGAAAGATCGAAAGATCCAGACAGATCGGACAAAATCCCATGTCATTTAGTTTCATTTATAGTTTCATGGATATTCATTTGACATCATTTGACATTCATTTGATATATCTAGATATATTTAGATATTCAATATTCCAAGAACTGCAAGGCATCTTCATCGCTGGACGATGCGGACTGGTACGCAGCTCTGGTTTTTTGCCCTCAAGTTCTCCAAATCAGATGGATTGCGAGTGAGGCTCTTCCGCTTCACCTCAGGTTCAAAGCCCGTCCTTGTCCCAGCTCGCTGTGCAACTTCATCAACTCCACGATGATTGGTTCATGGACAATTCGTGCAAAAACATGGTGTGATGTTTTTGCTGTGTGTGTCCGTGTCCGTGCCTTTTTGAATCTGTCTTCACTCTCACGCCGTGCCTTCAGCTGCCATACAAGTAATTTGTATCAGGCTGCGTTCAAAGCACAGAACGGTTTTGACTACACGGAGGGCATCTTGCGGCTACAGGCTCAACTACTTCTATGATTTTGACCAGCAGAGTTTGAGTTCATTGATTGCTTGTTAATCTTTGCTTACCTTTGCTGGTTTTGTTTGTCCATTTGTTGATTTGATGGAAGCCAGGCGTCCACACTCTTTGAATACCCGAAGCTTGTGGTCTGGAAACACGTGGACAAGGAGCGAGAGGGCGAACATGGAATAAACATGGATAAACATGAATAATTTGAATAATGGTGAAAAATGAAAGGAATGATTGACTGTTGAAGTATGGAAGTACGGAAGGTTCTTTCCACTCAATCTGGCCTCAGGTAGTTTACACGCTGATCTGCGAACCTTTGGACAACCCTTTGTTGGCCTCAAACTTTTTGACGCTATTTGTTCACGAGGCCGATGAGAGAGTCTGAGATTGTGCTTGAGGGATCACAAAGGGAAAAGGGATGAATTCCTGAGCTTCCAATGTCTGAGCTTTGTGTGATTCCTTCCAATGTCAATGTTCATTGTTTGCATTGTTTGCATTGTTTGCATTGTGTGCATTGCGTGCATTTGCCAGTTAAGCGACCATTTCCGAAAGGCTCTGGCTGCACTTTTTGAATCGCGTGATGGTGTTGACCAGAAGCAGAAGTGTATCGGTTGTGTCTATCTCTGTCTATCTGTATCCATGACTGTCATGGCCCATGGCTCGAAGGCTGGCAACATGGTGGAAGAGATCTCCTCCAGACCCGATGAGATCTTCACGATTCTGGTGGGCGTTTTTTTCCACTTCCGATTGTGTCAAAACTAAAAGTTCTCATTGTGGGAACCATGTGCTACTTGTAGTACCTCCAACCGGATGAAGAAAACTATTAGATGTGATTCCAAAAGCAGGAGGGCATCGTACTTTTTGGCCAGACACCCTCCCCACTCCCTACTTTCTGCCTTCCACTTCCCCATTCAAGACTATCAAGACTGCACTTTGGGGTTTGACCAAGAGTGTTCTTAGCAAGAGATTGCGCAGACTTTGATCTGTATACGTTTTTGGAAGGAGGGAGTCCTTGCTTTCTTCCACTCCCACTCCTTAGTCCCATCCTTTTTCTCCTTGCTTCAACTTCTTGCCTCCAAGTAGGCGAGCTACTTCGGTGTTGATCCAGTCGTGTTGGCCCCCTTTTCCTCAATCATTGCCTGAATTGCTTGACACACCAAAATAGCATGGCTCAAAAGCGATGAGGTCTATAATTCATTATAATTTAATGTTTTACTTAAACTAAAAAATGAGTTCGGTAAAATCAGATCGGGAGGGCTATAATCATTAACACACTTGCTCGGATATTGCAGGGCTTTTGATGTTAGATCCCTGTGTTGGACCCAAAAAGAGCTTCACAACTGCAATACACGGGTCCCTAGGTAGAATTGAGCGGTCAAAACCCAAAGTGCCCGTGTAGGATTTTAGTTTTTGTCGAAGCTGAAATTGAAACAGGGTTGGCCGACAACAGCAATCATTTTCAGTTTTGCACACTGTTTTGGAAAGTAAGGAAAGGGTCCCAGTTTTGGCCTACGGAGCTTCTTTGGGGGGGAACTGGACGAAAACAAGAGAAACTGATAGAAACTGTATGTATAATCAACCATGTGCATCGGAGCGTACTATAGTGTACTGTGGTGTTTCAGATCGTTTCAGTATGGCAACGGTATGTAAGATGTGAGTGTCCCCTTCCATGTCGCCACACTTCTCACGACACTTTCCCTGGATCTGTGCAGAACTTCATGTTGCCGGGTGGGCAGCTGCTCTTCACCAACTCCAACTTACACCGACATTTCAAGGCGCAGATCTCCCAGGCAACTTGATCAGAATTGGAATCCGAAACATACCGGCAAGATTGGGCAAGATTGGACAGACTTTTTGAACGTCAGACCCCGTCACACATCGTCACACTGAAACCACTTGAACTTGAACATACTTGAAGTACCCAACTGGAGCCCAGGAACCTGTCGTCTTGAACAATGAACCAAGGTCTTGAGCCAGAAGTGAAACGAGTGAAGGTCGAGACGCAGCGGTCAAGAAATCCACTGCCCAAAGTGGCAGCGGTTGCGGTCAAGACAGTTGTGTGCAGACATGTGAGCGAACAGATGCGAACAGGCAATGCGAGAGAGCCTTGCATTCCGTGACAGAAAATCCGCCAAACTTGACGAGTCCTGTCCAACCCTCGATAGCCTTTATCAGTCTTTATCATATCAATCTTTGTGGCACAGGCTATCGAAATGGCCCGCAGATCAAAGTTGAAGAGACAACGCTTGTTCTGGTTCCGACGTATGGAGACACTGTCAAAGTTGGACACCAAGAGACACCACGCAGAGAGCAACGATGATATTGTTTGTTTTGTTGAAGGCCGCTTGCTAAATAGAAATGTCAATCCATGTGAGATTTAACGGATTTTAACCGTATCACATGTGTGGGGATGAGACATAAGAAAATGTGCGTGGGGTCTGCCCGGAGGCTCCCTGCGACAGGGTAGAAAAGTATTGAGAACAAGGTCACTAGTATCGAACACATTTTTCGCATTTGATTGCCCTTCCGAAGATCAGGGTAACTACCTGATAAAGTCTGACAAAGTCTGATAAAATGGTATAAAACTGAAATAAAATTGTTTTCCAAGCTGAATGTTTCTGCTTCGGATCTCAACGGTGACTGAGATCTGAAACGAGGCTTGCAGTGACCTCTGAGAATCTGGACGAGGCATTCGCATCATTTCCGGACTCGGCAAAGGCCGGTGCCGGTTGAAATCTGACATTGAAATCACTATCAGAAAAGGAAGACAAACGCACAAGACAAGAATAATCGGAATAGGTTTTCCTCCTAAGTCATTCGCATTAAAACGGTGGAAGGCTTGTGGAGGACTTGGATCCTTCATTGAAACATCACTGAATCCTTCCGCGGTATTGTGATTGCTGGAGTCTCCAGCTATGGTCTTTTCGTTGAGGTGGATGGCACGGCCGCCAGTGGTGTCCTTCTGAGCCGCAACGTATCCATTCCGTATCTCCTTCGACAGTTCGGTGGTGCAAAGGCTGGGCTTGGCTGAGCTGTGTGATTTGAGGGAACGCCAGATGATGTAGAAAATATGCAGAGGCTAGGCAGAAAAAAACATGGAAGGCATCATTTTCTTCACGGTTTTGCTCGCAATCCTTCTGGGCCTTTGCTATTAGATCCAGCTTCGTTTGTAGGCATTCCCGCCACAAAAGAACCGTCGTATCCCTGGCATTGACAACGTTCAAAGAGAGGCCAGCAGCCGATGTTATTCTGAGATGATCCAGGTATACCGGTCTTGTTGAAGCTTCGTTGTCACAGAGCCACAGCTGTTCCATTTTGTCAAGGTGATGCAAATGTCGTACGACATCCTTGGCGAGGATCATCCGAATTTGCTGTACATCTGTGTTTCTGATAGTAGACTTGGTAGACTCAGACTCGGTAGACATTTAGAACTCTTTGGCAGAGTCTTATCATGTCGTCCACACGCAATTTACTGATTCAGGATGCCACCGCCATCTCTGAAGCAATGGGGGCAACCATCCGCAGCATCAGGACGAAGATCGCTATGAGACCGATGTGCCTGAAGAAGCGAATTGGAGAACCAGAGCACAGCAGTTCAGAACCCAGAAAGCAAAAGGGTCAGATTCAACTGGCCAGTGAACTGGGAGAATCGCGGAAATGCGGAACGAAGATCAAAGAACATGACAGGACAGGACAATCATAGAAAGGCATTAGAAATGTCAAAGGGAACTAGGCGCTAGAACATGTGTCATGTGCATGTATCAATGTACCTTGAAACGCCCTTTGTGGCTCAAGCGCCCCTTGAAGGAAAATGAATCGTGCTGTCGCTGCTGCGCCATAACGGGACTCGGTTGACCAGCAAAGCAGGTATCGAAACTACAATTGATAACACCTAGAACAAGGGTAAATTTGTTCGCAGGTTATCAGCCGTAAGGGCTCACTTCTCCCGTCGGGAGAGGAGTACCTGCGTGCTGGTAGCCGGGCCTTCTGAGCAATTGATTGTGGACGCAAAGGACCAATCAGCTCATCATCGCAAAGATGCAAGGCGGCAGCGGAGATTCGCGCAACACGCAGTTTACCTTCAATGAGAACACTGCTATGCCGGTCGAGGAGGTCACTCAATCTTCCCCTGGTGACACGGCAGACAGTGGTGGGATACGCTCTACCCGAACTACACAGTCCGGATGGCAAGTTACATCAAACAGACGAAGAATATCCACCCAAAGTACACCAAGATCTTCTCGAAACAGTGCTCGAAGTGATGTTGTCCGCCAAGGGCATCGACCATCTCGAGGACGAACTACCCCAAGGGACAGATCCACCAGGGCCGTAACCGACCGAATTGGTGAGAGGACCGGGGATAGTCGTGTTAAGAGGAGATCAACGGATACTTCTGTGGCTAGTGAACCCATTGCCATGATAGAAGAACTACGGGCACAATGTCAATCCCTACGTAATCAGTTGAACCACATGGAAGCATATGCAGCATCAAGAGATCAACTGATTCATGACATCGAGATCAGATTCACTGAGTATCTTCAGGAACACAACCAGAATGTATTTGATGAGGTCAATGCACTCAATCATAGATTGTCATGTTCCGCAAATGAGGTTGCAGAATATCAAGCAGAACTAATGGTAGCATCTCAGGAAGACGAAGGTGCAACAATACGCATCCAAGACCTTGAACGCCGAGGTGCCCTGATGGAACATGGTGCAAGACGGATCCATCAACGTGGTATGGAGATCCAGGAAGAGTACAAGGATGAAGTACATCACCTTCAAGGACTATTGGGTAATACGGAGGCAAGACTGCAACAACTTCATCAAACCAATGTCTTAACTACCGATATTGCCAACCGATTATACAATGAAGGTCAAGAAATGCAGACGGATTTCCAGAACTCAATTATGGAATATCGTAATCGATCCGAAATGGCATCCTTCTCCAGCAATCAACTTGAAGTGATTAGTCAACAACAATCGATTGCAGTTCATGAATTGTCTGAACGGAATCAGCTATTGAGTGAAGCTCTAGTTCAGTCTCGTAAACAGGCCGAGTTATATGAAAGCAGTATTGAAGAGATCACTAGAGAATCTAGAAAGAAGGTTTTCGAGGCAAATCAGGCCAAACTGGAAAGTGATCTGAAGCACCGAAATACTGAACATGATACTGTCAGAAGAATTGCATCATACAGGAACCATGAGGCCGAAGCGATATCACACCTGAGGCTTGAATCACAGGCTAGTGCAAATTCGATCACAAGGGCAGAGCACTATGAAGAGCTCTACACCAATGAACAGGAGATGAACTGTGAATTAAAGGATGAGATCAAGTTGCAGAACATGAAGTTGCGAAGATCATTGACTCAGGGCACTACGACCGACGGTCGTGGCTCCGATGAGATGCTTGTTGAAGACCTACGTAATCAAGCCAAAATCGCTCAAATCAGGGTTCAGGATCTAGACCATGAAGTTCATGAATGTTTACAAGAGAACATGTTGTTAAAAGAGAGATTGGCTGAAGTTGCGGATGTAGGGGCGTCGTCCTTCTCCAACGCTGAAGTCCGAACTTTGAGATCTGAACTAGAAAGTGAGCGCAAAATGAAATTGGCTAGTGGTGTTCAACAGTATGAGAGATCATGCATGTTTATGGGGGAAATTCAGGATAGGGATGAAAAGATTGGTATCAAGAATTCTGAGATTATTGACATGAAACGTCACTTAGATGAACTGAGAAAGAGTCTCAAGGATTCTGAAACTTCTATGTCTAGGGTCAGCCCTGATACACTTCCCTATTCGGCAGGCATCCCCAACTATGATCTCGCATCAAGACTGGTCATTGACAAACTGGAGAATGAGGTGAGTGAGGCTAACTCTGAGAGCGCTATCCTAAAATCTTGGGTAACGCAGATTGACAAGGAGTTGGCCTACGAGACAAATGTTGCTCAATCCTATCGCGGACATGCTGGACCTTCTCAACAGCAACCTTCTCAATCGAGCAAAAGAATCACCGATCTGCTGAAAGAAGTTGACAATAAGATCGCCGATGGAACTGAGAAGGACTATTACAAGCCTTCGAGCGGATGGGGTGGTCCGCCTGACCCTGATGGACCTCCTGACCCCTTCGGGCCCAACGGTCCAGGACCACCTTCAGAACCTCCTGGGTTACCTTCAGTTCGAGGATCACAACGTGATTCAGCAGACGACATCTCCACAGCGGCGTACACGGCGGAAGAAGTACCGAGAATGTCAAGACGGGAGGCTGACAAAGTCTATGTTAGCCCATGGCCGAAGCAACAGAACCTTGGGGTTTGGCAATCAGATCTCATCAAGAGTGTTGTTCTTGCTGCGAATGATGGAGACAAAGCTGCGTGGGAAGCATGGTTACAGCCGGCTATTCGACCAAATCCTGACATCGAGCTATTGAATGACAGTGGAGGGCAACGATATCAGTCAATCGACGCCAAGTTGTCAATTGCATTGTCAAACGTTATAGCCCAAGCCGGTGATGTTGCTCGTCATGTAGCAATTAAACTGAGATTGAGAACACAGAGTCATAGCCGAAGAGGAACCTATGTCATGGGACGAGAAATCTTGGCTATGATACTGGAACACTTCAGAACCCCAGGTCAACGAGAGACAGCCTTCACCATGGAGCACATCGTATCGATGAAATATCTCGGTGACTCAAACCTGGAAGTGTTCTATGAGAAATGGATGGAGATGGTGTCAAACATGATGCCGGATGATGTGCCTCCTGATGATTGGCTTCGTGACGCTCTATACAAGAAGATTCGAAATTCGAGTCTTATGATGTTCGACATCAAGCAGTACGAGTCATGGATTGAAGGAGACCAAAGACGAAGCTATCGCTATCTGTTGGATGTCATCGAAAGGCACATCTCCAGAATCAGAGAAGACAAGCATGTGGCCGCTAGGGAGAAGTACGCAAGAGACTTTGCAGGCGGCGGCAAGCCTACCGCTCCTGCCCCAAATCCAACTGCTGCTGCACCAGACGCCAATCCGAAAGCGAAGCCTAAAGCCACTCCCAAGGAGAAGGCAGCACCCAAGGCGAAGGCCAAGGCCGATGCAGCTCCAGTTCTACCATCACCTCAACCGAAGCAGCATGCAAAAGGAAAAGGAAAAGGTCAAGGGAAAGGAAAGGACCGAACAAACAGCCGAAGTGCTAGTCCCAGGTCCAAGAAGAAGATCCCATGCCACTTCCATTTCATCAAGAAAGCATGCAGAAAAGGCAAAGATTGTGAATACAGTCACGACCAAAAGGTGTTTGATGCGAACAAGAACGCGAAAGGTAATGGTCGAAAGCCAGGAACTCCAAGAAGTCAATCTCCAGCGAACAAGACCAAGAAGGTTGATGAACCATGCTGGCACTGGGCTAAGGGCAAGTGCCAATATGGAGATAAATGCAACAAACGCCATGATCCTCATCTATTCAACACTGCTCCGAATACCGAAGCATCAAGCTCAAAGGCTACTCCTGCACTTGTCCATGAATGGAGTGATGACGAAGGGACGTTCCACAAGGTTGCATCGAACGTCGTCAAGAAGAAAGTTAGATTCGATGAGTCTAAGACTTACGTTCAAACGTACGTGAAGAAGGACTTCGTGAAGTGCAGCCGGAAATCCCAAACCATCTCCAAAGGTCATGGTAAAGTTGGTAAGCCCACCGATCAGATAAGGCAAGATGAGCAATGGTCTTATTCATGCAGATTAGCATCGAGCCGAGGGAAAGCAATGGCTATTCTGATCGATGAGAAGGGTGAGTACAGTGACATTGATGAAGTCCTGGTCATCGTCGGCCCCAGCCTGGACATTCTGATCAGACTCGACGTCGAGGACGGTGAGGTGTCCAGGGAAGTCTTTGTGGAGAACTATGTTCAACATATTGAGGGTCGATATGGTAAAAGGGGCAACACAATGTGTATTACTGTTCCTGTTGAGGAAAGAGATAAGAGATTCATATTGGATTCTGGAAGTGGTCATGATCTCATATCATCTACACGAATAAGTAGAATGGATCTCCCAACATATGATGACGAAGTCGTCAACTTCCATACAGCAAATGGGGTAACATGTTCGACCAAACGTTCAAGTATCAAGTTCGAGGCATTCAACGAACCAGCGGAAGCTCACATCCTGGAAGACACGCCTTCTGTGATCTCCATGGGAAAGCGGTGCGTTGACCTTGGCTACTCATTCGTATGGCCGACTGGAAGAACTCCTTTCATGTTAGATCCCAATGGCAACATCATCGAAATGACCGTCAAAGACTACATTCCCTATGTGAGCGTCGATCAAGAGAAGAGAAAGTTAAAATCATCTTGTGTGGAAAAGATCATGGCAGTTCTTGATGATGGATGCTCAACGTCGGAAGGCGAAGGTCTTTTGGTCATTGATGGAGAAAGTGGGGATGAGCTTGAGGATCTTTCCGACTCCGTTGGACGATCCGATGTTAAATCTCCCAAGAGATCAATGAAGAAACGTAAGAAAGCAAAATTGAGAGGTGGTCAACATGAAGTGGCTGTTGGAAGTGATGCAGGTGATGCTGAGGAAATGTCGTGCTACGCCG